GTCCCAGGCTGAATCCCCACAGTCTCCAGGTAAAGCTGGAAAAGGCCAATTTCTGAAATTCTGGAGAACAGCTGCTAGTCAGTGGAGACCATATTGAATGAGATGGACCAAACATCATGTTAAGTCCCCCATCCAGATTTCAACCAGGCCCAACCTTGCTTAGTTTCCAAGACTAGGCAGAATCAGGCCCTTCAGGCTATACAGAAGCTTATCCAACATGGTAAAGGCTGCATGCTGTTTCTATTACCCACACTAGTTATAGTATTCCAGGCTCTAGGAGTTTTAGCTCTTCTCATTTTTGAAAGTGTGCATCTGAAAGTCCAGCACATTTTTGCTTGAACTTGTGGCATTGTCAAAATATATTTATTTTTGCATTGCCCTTCTCTTTCCAGACTTCTATTAGTTTTGCACTACTGCATCTTGATTTTTGCAAGTTTGACCACTTGTTCCATTGCTGCTGTTCGGCTATTTGATTGGTTTGGTTATTAGGCTTGATGGCTTGTAAGTCACTCTGAGACACCCTACTTGGATGGAAGATGGATGATAGGAATATAATAAATATCACCATTATGTGTCTGCTACTGCAGAACCTGAAAGACAAATCTGGTTCATTCTGCAGAAAAGTGGACTTGAGAAATAAAATATAACTGCACAACGTTGAAAGGGCAAAGGCTGAATTCACACATAATGACGAGACATGCTGGAAAGCATGCAGACACGGCTTGGCATTATCTGTGTATTCAGCACCCATGGTGAAGTGTGCCATGTCTGGTTCCAGAAAACCACAAAGAGAAACAATGTTTGCTGTAAGGTAGAGGAATTCACTTTCCTGGGATCACTGATTACTCACAGTAGTGAACACAGCCCAGAAATAAAGTGATGAATTTCACTAGGTGACAAGTGTAAATCAAGTGTGAAGAAACAAGAACATCAGCTTAGCAACCAAGTGCAGACTGGTCTGAGTGATCGTTTTCCTATTGCAACCTAAGGTTGTGAAAGTTGGACACTGAAAAAGCTGGACAAGAGGAAGATTCACTTATTCAAACTGTGGTGTTGGTAGAGGCTCCTGTGCATTCCATGGACAGCAGGATTCGGGCCAACGAGGGAGGCAGACAATGCAGGCAGGAACAGTGTATGCTGGGATTGATTCTGAGCTGCGGAGGCTGATGAGATACATGCCACCATTTGGAGGGAAGATGGAGAAGCATGGAAACCATGCATGCATGGAAACCGCACAAATGTGTGAACCTGGGGCACAAGGTGTGATACCATTAGCATTGCTTAGCATTTATGCGAATGCAGGCACTGAATTGGAGACCACTACAGCCTCTTGATTCATGACTAATTTGGTGCACCACTGTCCTTTCCAGACTATTAAAATATATTTTTTTCTGCATACAAATGTAATGCAAAGGAGGACATTCAATAAACTATGAAAGGTTCATCCTGTGCACACATCCAGTTCCACCAGTACCCATGGTCACCCTATCTGTCCATGCACTTGGTTCATAGTCTGCGTTTCTGCACACAGACTAATGTACACAGTGTATGAGGGAGGAGCTTCATGAGTTATGTCACTCCATAGGGAATGGCTCTCTGCAATGTGCGCTAGCAGGCTTGGTGTCATGGTCCTTCTGGTAGCTGTTGGTGGACTGCTCTGTTGTCCTGAAGGAGCAAGCAGCTGCGTGCAGTCATTAAGATTAAATTACAGTTGTAAGGCAAACATTTGTAAATTTCGTAAATATGTTTCATCTCTCCCTCTCTCCTTCCCTCCCTCTCTCTCTCTCTCTCTCCCACACACACACGCACCATTGTGACTTTCTACCTGGTTTCATCTTGGAATAATTATGCTGACAACAGCCAGGTTCCCATGATCATGGAGGAAAAAGAAGCTGAGCTGAATTTTTCCCCTCCCGCAATGCACCAGCCATGTGCTGCGCTATGGCCTCCTGTGTCATCTGAACCCAGTGTGATATGCAGTGGGTGGGGGCACTTCAAAGCAACCTCAGCCAGCACATCTTCCTAGTTCAGACAACCTAGTTATCCACCTTGTTGCTTTTGCTTTTCCTGCACCTCTCAGCAGCTTTCGGTGCCATTGATCGTGGTAGCCTTCTGGATAGGTTGGCTGGGCTAGGAGGAGGAGATAGTAGTTCTGCTCCTACTTGACTGGCCGATTCCAGAAGGCAGTGCTGGAGAATTATTGCTCTGCACCATGACAGTTACGCCATGTGATACAGCAGGAAGCTACATGAAGCTGCCACATGAGCATCTGCATGAAGCTGCTGGGGGAGGTTATCTAGAGGTATGGCCTAAGACAGCTTCAATATGCAGATGACATTCAGGTCTACCTCTCTTTTTTTATCAAACCCAGGTGAGGCAGTGGCTGCTCTGAATCAGTGCCTGACCATGGTAATGCGTTGGATGAGGGCCAACAAACTGAGACTCAATCTAGACAAGGCAGAGGTGCTGTTGGTGGTGGTTCATCTGTCCAGATGGGTGATATTCTGCCTGTTCTGGATGGAGCCCCCCAAAATTACAAGGTTTGTAGTTTGGGGGTACTCCTGGATCCAGAACTCTTACTTGAGGCACAAGTGGACTCAGTGGCACAGAGCACCTTTTGTCAGCTTAAGCTACAGTAGTCCATGCTCTGGTAATCTCTCATTTGGATCATTGCAATGTCCTGTATTGGGGCTGCCTTTGAAAATAGTCCAGAGACTTCAACTGAACCAAAACAGGGCAGCAAGACTGTTAATGGGGACTGGTTTATGAGAAAATATTATGACAATCCTCTTCCAGCTGCACCGGCTGACAGTTGAAGTCCAGGCCTGATTCAAAGTGCTAGTATTACTATTCAGTAATACTATAGTAATACTATTCAGTTATAGTATATTTTTATTACTATACTAGTAATAGTAATACTATTCAGTTGTGGCACCCCAGCTCTGGAATTTGCTCCTCAAAGAGGTGTGCCTGGCAACAACTCTGTATCCTTTTGCCAGGTGAAAAGCTTTTTTTCCAGTATTTTTACAGTTAACTTTTTAACATTTGTTTTAATGTTGCAATTTATCCTGTCCCACTGCTGTGCTGATTTGGTTGCAATTGCTGCATTTTTGTTATCTGACGTTAATTTTTTGTTTGCTCTTTCTTGTTTCTGTTTTTAACTTCTGTTAACTGCATAGAGAGCCTAGGCTTTTGGGTGCCATTAAAATGAAATAAATAACATGGGGAGCCACATACCATGAGAATACTTGGGCAAACTGGCCAACCTGTGGCTAGCATAGTGAGTGGAGAAAAGTCGCCATGATTAAGTAAACCCAGCCTCCTGCATTAACACAGAAATGTATTTCTTACCTGTTGCCTCCATTGTAAAATAGTTTCACAGAATGGAGGAAAGCAATCTGAATGCTCAGGAGATAAAAACTTGGCAGGATTCTTCTTGGAGCCACAAAAAGGCAAAGCTCTACACAATGCAACATGTTGTGTCAAAGGAAGACTGCAGGGGATGTGTCTAAAAGTAACAGTTGCTTAATTAGCTTTCTCATTATACTGTTACCAGAGGCAAGTGACCTCAGGTCTTGTTCTCATCACAAAATGTTCCACAGGAATCTCAGACATGGGGAAGGACGGAAGACTCTGTTATTCTGTAGCTCTAGCCTGGTACAGGTAGGCCTGAATACAGATTACCTCTACTTTCGTATAGCAGTCACCGACTCTTGGGACTTTTCCTTGCATCATTTTTTCACCCTTATTAGCAACAAGTAACTGCTAATTAGTTGCATGGGGTTCAATGAACTTCTCTCATGGCCAGCTTCATTTGTGGGAATAGCATATTTCCCCAACAACACAATATTGTATTACTGGGAAGAATATGTTTTCATCTGTTTTCTGAGGGATTATATGGTTAAAGATATTTTCCTCCACCTATGAATCCAACCCCCCACCCCATTGAAAAATCACCAAGCTGGAGAATATTGGAGAAAGTAAGAGTGGTTTATGCCAGAAGCAGAAAGGAGGAGGAGGGGACTTGATACTTAGCACAGTTCTTTCCCATGGACAGTGTCTGTGCAGGTGAGTCCCAAAACTATATCTCAAAACTGAATAGTCTGAACTTTTGTTAGGTAGTTATATTTTAAGGAACTACAGCTTAGTTATAGCTATTCCCCCATTCTGTAACCGCTGCTAGTTAAAAAACAAAACAAAACAAAACTGTAAGGTGGGCAAAGTAATTGAAATTCACCAAGAAAAATGTGGATTTCCATACAGAAGCAAATAATTTTTTTTTTATCTAGAAGAATTCAGAGAAAGTGTATGGCACCTACATCGTGCTTAAACACCAATGTGGCTTGAAGGGTCAACTGTGCACGTACGGCTGCAACCATGCTTTCAACCTAATCTGGTGTCCTTGTGTACACCGAACCCACTGAATTCAATGCACTTAGGCAAACCCAGCTTTAAATTTTGTGGGAAGCACTTGGGAGCAGATATGTTAAAAATCAGACCACAAGATGCACTGATTTGAACTGGCTTGGGACACAATCCAGATAGGAGGATAGCAGAGATAAATGTTGCCTCTCAGCTCCTCCTACCCTGCAGAGCAATAGCAGCTTACTTTAACCTTCTAACTGCCATACTTCAGAGGGGGAAAGAAGGAGAATGAGGCACCACCAGGGTACATTGCATCTTGGCCCTTCCAGCGCTCTCCTCTTTCCACCCCTTATGTGCCTTCAAAGTTACTTGTACAGCCTCGGAGTAGCAGCCAGCATGGTTCTGTCCAAGCCAGCTGCAGAAGGTAAGGGTCTTCCGGGCATGGATGCGAGGTTTGAGCTGTTTTCTGACCTCAGAACTGGCAAACCAAACCACCCTAAGGCCCTCTAGATCTTCTCCAAGAGCCATAGGTTGGCTTTGCACAGTACACTTTTTCTCTGTTACACCCACAGAGAAGGATACACATGGGTCAGTATTTGGAATAAATAAAATGAAACACATTTTCCACCTGAACATATTTAGAATTAACCTTTTAATTGGTTTTTAACTGCATCTGCAATTTGTCGGTGAATTCAGTATCTGTTTTAATGCTGTTAGTCTTTCTAAAATCAAGAGGTTTACAGGACTTCAGATATTTCTCACAGAAGGTCAGAGTGATTAGTCTGTGGTCATCTTGCAGCTATAGTTGGATCAGTAATAGGGATCCTTGAAGAATTTGTCCTTTTCTAAATTCTGGTGCAAACTGACCCAAACTACTCAACATGACATTATCCTTTGTATTTCCATATTTCCAATTTTGTTGGACAGTGTTCAGGTCAAAAAAATGTACCAAAATGTGTTTTGAAACTGGCATTTTAGAATAAAATTTATTTAGAAAAGCAGTCTTGAAGATAAAACATGTTCAAAAATGAAAATTTGGGGTGAAAATGCCTGCAAAAACCTGTATGCAAATATAAAATTTTGTGCAGATTTAAAATAATAACAATCACAGATGAATATGGAAACATGTCAGAAGAGACTTTTGAATGAACACATGTGAAAATGACATGGAGCAGAAATAGATTGACTCATCTATCCTTAGTCACTGGACATTTCTGAGATCTATGAAATATGTTCCATAATCCAGTTTTCAAATTTAGCCACATTAGTGTACACTCCTGGTTGTCCTGGACGAGCGCATCCCTCACCCCAGCTGGTAATGCCAACTGCATACCAGTGCATCTCAAGTTTACATTGCAAAGGTCCACCCGAATCTCCCTAAAGAAAAGAAAGACAAAACGAAAGAAAATGCACATAATCTCAACATACTAGATGAGGGCATTTATCTTGAACAAGAACTGCAGAAACAACACAAGCCACTGAGGAAATAAACATAGCACAAAAGGTGCAAACAGATTCTTCATCTGAAGCCTGGACACCTCATATAGCTAACATGAATCTGAGGAAATTCCAGCAGTAAATTGCCACAAATACAGTTCCACATTCCATATGTGCTACGATGAAACAGGACTTTGTAGGACCAAAGCACAGACCCACCATCCATGTAAAGGCAGACACCTGTCTGCCAGGACACAGTCAAGATGTGCATTCTTAGACCAAAGGGGCAGTAGGGAGAGGCACTTAAATTATTACTGCTGCTACTTGTAAGGTCCTCTTTGGACATTCCTTTCCAAGGAATGCAGGAGGCCTTAACATGAATGGGGCCAGTGCACATGGAAACACTAGGAGCCACATGTGCAACCCAATTCCTGTCCCTCCTTTTAGCTGCCATCATCATCATCATCATTATCATCATCATCCCTTTCCAGGAAACTCAGAAAGTGTGTCTTGTCTTATCTCTTACCTCTTACTTGAAGAGATAAGAGACAGTGACTGGGTCCAAGCAACTCACACTGAAGACTAGGTTGAATGTAAGTTGTTGTTCAGCCATGGGTGGTAGTCAAAACATAGGTAATCTCATTGTCTGACCCCAGCCAAGTTAAGAAACCATGGTGATCATCCCACAGTACCCAACCCAGCAAGAAACCTTGGGTTCTCTTCATGAGTTGTTTGTGCTTAATGAGATGTGGTTCGATAGCACAGTTAAACTCAAACAATAGCCATGTTTCAGCAACCCACACTAAGCACTTAAGTGTGGGCTGCTGTGTTCTCTGATCCTAGTCCATGGTTCAGGGTCACTCCAGATCCTACAGTTCTACACAGTCCAGATCTAACCACTACACCAAACATGTAGCAGACACATTAGTCCTATTCAGTGTATCCATATATAAGTGCAACACTGGCTTCCTGAAAAAGGGGCAGAGATGGACATGCTGCTATAGATTAAATAGATTTAAAAAGTCCAATCATAACTGCACTTGGAAAATTATATTGGAAGAGAGCATATTGGGGGCTTTTTAAAACCAGTAGTATGTTTCACGGGTAGTGGGGGGAGCTCCTCACTTGCTAACAGAATTCTCAACATCTTTACCAATTCCCAGGATTCTTTGTCAAAACTGACGAAAGTGTGTAGTGTACACAGAAACGGAGATGAGGCCATTACCTTACAAGCATCCCTTCCACCTTCTTGATAGCCAGCACAGATCATTTTGTCAGTTATTCGGTGTTCTTGATAATATGATTGGCATTCCGTATTTGATATTAGGGGGATTCTGACCTTTTGTAGAGTATCTTCTATTTGACCTGAAGTAACATGTATAGAAATAGGACACATGTGAGGCAGGAGAATAAGTCAATGATAGGTTATCTCAGGAATTCCCAGACTGTGCTGGGACACCCAAACACCCGCCTGCCCACCCAGGAGGCTGCTTGCTTCATCTGGACCTTATGGACTGCACTGGTGTTCTTTCCATGCAGCATCCACTCGGAGTGGATTGCCCACCTGTGCACAATGGCTGTTTCTCTTGGGCAAACCCCACCTAAAAGCACCAAGAGCCTTCTAATATCAGATTAAGAAGTGCTGATTCAAAGTGGATGGACCCCACGCTGGTGCCCCGTTCTCACATTATTGTTATTTGCATGTCATTGGGCTCTTCTGTAACTTGAATGGACTTTCCTAGGATGGCACATATGTACCCTACAGACTAATATGAGTCTAAAGAACAGGATGCATGGCAGGTATTAAAGAAAAGGATAATTGCATTATGGTTTGAAATGAATAGGGACTAGATGGTTTGTGGTCATGATGCTTTTCTGTGTTCTGCTCTTGCAAGGTATGCTACTTTGGGCACATCTGTGTGCAAAAGTAGCAAACAAATAAAATCATTATAATAAACATAATCCTTATATTAATCTGGGTGAATTCTATAGGCTCTTAATATTGCATGATGAGGACTGTAGATTTGTTTAGAGTCCCAGGTCTGATGTCCTACAGACTTGAAGTTGGAACTCTGAAAGCCAAGACGCCACCCAGCCCCCTCACAGTCAGTGTGGAAAGAATGGTGCTGGCTGCCTCCCCAAGGTCTCAACTGGTGGAGAGGGGAGGAGTTGGGGGTCAGTGGCTTCTGGTGCTTCCTATCAGCACCTAGTCCACTTCCCTCCCCTTCCACCCCAAAACCACCTAGAGCAAAGATGTGACGGGTGGCATGTCAGTAGCAAGGATCACTTCCCCTTGCACTGCTTGCATGCAAGCCTCTGGGTTTGGACGCTTCTGAGCATCTTCTTGTGCCATAAGCCAGTGAGCATGCACACAGCAGGAGCACAGCCATCTACCACAGGACTCCCCACCCAACCCTATGTGCATATATTCAACCCGCGGAAGAGAGCCCAAGAAGAACCACTGGCCTCTGTACCCCTGAGAACATAACTATGAGATTATACCCCTTTCGAGATGTAACCCTAAGTTTTGGATAGCATTAACCTGAGGTCTGCATACACTTCCATCCCCTCCTTTTCCTCTTTCCCCTCCTCCTCTGCTGTAGCATCAAGGAAGAGATCCTGCACCTAAACAACCCTGACTTCCCTGTTACATTTGGATTTGAGGAAACTCTGGTGAGCTTAAACCAGGGATGGGAAACCCGAAGTCACAGAAGATGTTCTCACCCATGTCCTCCAATTTCTGCCCCTGGAAGAATTCTCAATGATGTTGTGCCCAATATTCTATATGTTCTATAGAGAGCATTTATAGCCCACAGTGATGGTATTTGTGTTTTCTCTGTGGCTTCTGGTTAATATGTTTATGATGAATCTATATGAGACACTAATCCATACTAATTTTAATGGGACAGGGATATTTCCATGCTCATTAATGATAATGGGTAATCATTGTTCTGCTGGATATGCTATACCATCTGGGAGTTCACCTTGGATAAACAGAGAGTCACTTGTGTCAATGATCACCTTCTCCATCCACAGAAAGAGCAAAATTCCCTATTCTTCACATGTAAAAATGTATTATCTAGCATCACATTATCATTTGCTATTATAAGCATTGTATGTTTTGTTGTTTTAAGTACCTCTCTCTCTCGTGTAACCCCATCCAGTCACCCAGCATTCGGTGTATCTTGCATTCGTTTGTTCTCGAAATGGCAGACATAACGGTTGCTGGAAGTCTAAATTTCCATGTGAAAGACTTAGAAGGTTGGACAGGCTGCTTTCATTTAAAAATACATCATATCCCTATTAGAATTCCAATCCTATTTTCTCCTTGGGTGGAACAATAGTTGGTTAAAGTGCAATCAACTTACTTTCACTTTAGATAAAGCAATACCGAGTTCCTTAAGAGAACATTAAAGATTTGGGCATAAGCTTTAGGTTCAACATACCACTGAAGTTCATGGGTCTGTCAAGTTTCATTAAAGCAATGTCATATCCACTTTCAGAATACTCGTACTTAGGGTGAACAATAATCTCTTTGATGCTGAAGAAGGAAGTATTATCTTTTATTTCTGATTGTTTCCAAGCACCGGTATAAACACGCCAAAATTCAGGGAGCCCAAAGCTAAATAGAGGAAAGAAGAAAGCCAAGATTAAGCATGAGTATGAAGATTCATACTTTTCCATTCAGCTGTGCAGCGTATCTCCTCCACTCCCCAAACTCAGCACAACCCCAGTTATTCCATATCCCTTCAGTTCTTAATAATTGCATTATTTTGATTTGTAATCTTTTCAGAGGTGGACCTGATTAATCTGTGGCAGCTAAAACAACAGCTAGTCTTGGGACCCTTTAAAAACCAGTGTATGGATGATCTGGATCAGGTGTCTGGTGCCCAATTCTAAAATAAAAAATGAAGTTTGGGGGAAAATGGGGGTGCAGTAGAATTTAAAGCAGTATCTGTTTTGACCCTCCATGTGGGTATTACTGAGCTGCACAAACCAGTCGTACATGTGCTATCATGCAGACCACTTTTCCTACTGCTACTGTTTCCATCCTTTAAAAAGTAAATCCCTTCTGTTTACTTAGTTGTACTTACTCTTCTATGCAGTGGGCAGCAGTCATTATCCACTGGTTATGAATGATTGAGCCTCCACACATATGAGTGTAAGAAATTTGCTTCACATGTAAACTGACTTGCCAGGGCCATTCACCAAGCAAAGAGTCGGTTCCTCCCACAATCCTTGACATCTTATGCTCCTGCGGACATCCTAAAAGAATATCACCACGCGTTGAGACAATATGAAGTGGCCAAAGTCACCCGATCATTGCTAGGATCTTGTCACCAGTGTTTGTGGATGGCAAGACAGAAAGAGTTAGTCAGGCCTGTGCAGGAACTTGTATGTGCACAGGTAGGGCTAACAGTGGAGGATGCATAGGCATACGTGTATGCCTGGCTGCTTATTACATTTTTGCCCATTAAACACAAGGGTCTGGAAAGCCCTGCAGCCGTGCTCAGTCAAATGCATTGCTTGCATCGGGCTCAAAACTCTTCATTATCCACATTCGGTTTGCATGGCTCCAAGCAAGGGGCACCTAGTAGAACCAATCAAAAGATTTTGTGTAGCTATTCTGTTTCCCCTCCCTTTGGTGTGCCTGTAAGCATGTGCTTGTGCCTGTGTAAAGAAAAAAAGAGGCAAAATGCAGTCAGAAGACAAACAGGTGGAGGATGATGCTATCTGGATTGCCCATAACAGTCTATCAATAGAGTACAGCCATTTCTTGGCAACCAGCTCATCTGGAGGCAGTGTGTATCCACCCTGTGTTATGACAGTACAAACTTGTGTGTCTCCCAGACTACATATCTTGCATAATGAAGCTACACGCCCAGGAACACTTTTGGCTACCATGGAATGCTCTTGCATAGTTTGAAGGCCAAACCAAACACAATTCAGGACATTAGATCATGTAATGTTTTGCTATTAACCTAGCGACAGCTACAGCACCCACTCTAAGAAGCAACTGCACTGGATGAATGTGTGAGTCTTTTCCCTCTCTCTGTTTTTCCACTCTCAGTCCCTCATCTCTGCTATGAGTCCTGGTGTGGAAAACATTGTTCCAAGGTGGGCTAGAACATCAGATTTTTCACCATTCTCAGCCCACATCCCACTTGTGTTTCCCTCGTAGGCCTGGCTGCAGTTCAGAGTTCAGCTGAAAATGGATGCAGAAAACTGGTGTTGAGAAACAGGCTGAAATCTCCACTCTCCAGCATAGCTGCCCTGATGAAGTTCAGGAGAGATGGAAGCTGTGTGAGGTTAAACTTGAAAGCTTTGGAAAGGTGGCCCTTTATCTCATGCTTTGGCCCTAGCAGGTATGGAATCTAGAAGCACAAATGCACCATCAGAAAGCAGAGCTCACTCTTCTCTTCCAGGGAGGATATGTATGTTTCAGATGAAGGCATAATACCTCTTTCCCCACAACTTTGCTATAGATGGGGATGTTGGATATGGGAGGTCTGAGGATGTAAAAGGAAGCATTGTGGGGAAAGAGGATTCAAACATGAGGCTTCTTTGCATCATCATCATCTCTCTGCTTTGGGGAGGGAGAGACAGAGAGAGAGAGAGAGAGAGAGAGAGAGAGAGCGAGCGAGCAGTTGTCTTCTTGAGCTATAGAAAGGGTTTTCCTATTGCTCTTTTCTTTATGCTATGAAGTATGTATCATTCAGGCACAAAATGTTTGCAGGGTTTGAGTGTGGTAGAATTCCAGTTGCAGTAAAATTGTTGTTATAATTATTATTTTCTTTTCTGGGCAGTAGCCAAACTGCCAAGTGTGAATATGGCAAGCACACACTTGCCAAGATAGGCAGCTGCACCCAGAGTATCAGCAGCACCTTTGGAGAATTTGGCTTGCCTCTACATCGTGCGCTAACAGCCCTGGGACCTCAGAAGCAAAGCTCGGAATTCACAGGTGAGTTACATGGAATAATGGTTGTTTCCATTAGAGCAAGCAGGTGGAATTAGTAGAAACAGGGAGGCGTTGGTGTCTCCTTTTCAAAAGAGGATGCAATAAGCAGGTTTGATTAGGTGGCTTATCTTCCAAGTTGTGATGGGAAGGCTGCTTCCCATGTAAACAAGGAAGTGCTGCAGGACTCTGCGTGCTTCAAGGTGATGGGATGCCATGTCGAGCAGGCTTGGTGACATTCCCTTCTGTATTCCACCCTGGCATTCAAAGCAGGCTTAGGCACTGAGCCCTGGTAAGTCCCAACATGAATTAAGCCCAAAGTACCTTGCTCCATGCAAGCCCTTGTAAGAAAAAGAGTAAACACACAGCGGTAGCAGCAAACAGAAGCCGACGGTCACTTGATAGCTAGATAGAGCTACCACATGAATGTTTGCGCAGAAATGTTTGTACAGAGCTAGCGCAGAAAGTTCAGGGACATGACCACAATTTTGAGCAGCTGCAGTGTGGTTTCTAAAATGGAAGGAGTCTGCTTTACAAAAGCTGTAAAGGCAGCAGTGGATTTCTCTCTCCCCTCACACAAACTGGATTAAATAGTCTACCTGTATAGGACGTTCCTTTACATCACTGTTTAATGTAATATGCACACCTAGACCAGAAGCCTACCAATAAAGGGATTAGAACACTTCTGTCTCTAGTGGGGAGACAATGGAGAAATAACAGGCGCAAGTTGTCCCTGCCAGATAATTGTAATAATATAACCATGTTTAGATGGGCTGTGAGTTGCGCAGGGTTCCACATAGCCACAATAAGGTGTGCATGGCAGGGTTGGATCTACAGAAAACCTGAGTTAGTGGGACCAGAAATCCTTTCACTTGAGTAATGCATGAAAGGGACAATAGAATGTAGGCTGACCAAATCGAAGGCAACTTCCTGTGTGAAAGGAGCTGATACTCGAACAAAGATTCAGAATGAACTGAATTGACCAATTCTGACAAATTTCAGATAGATTTTGAATATGACATTTTATCTCAACATTCCTAGAAATCCAGATTCGTCGACACCTCTTGGTTATTTCAGCACATCATAAAGAATCAGAGTAACATGTACTGTTGAACATAATTCATTATATTTCATCAGTGTGCTATTCATAAGTTCTTGAAATTCAATTTTATTGAATTTTCATTAAATGCATGAGTTTATATTTCATATTGTGCTTGTTGTGTTCTATTAATTGTTGCTTATCCCCCAGATTGCTTCAGGTATTGTATTTCTATAGAAGAAGAAGCAGCAACAGCAGCAGGAGAAATAATGATAATAATTTGTGTATGCTAACTATAAGTATGGCATGATTAGCTACATATGCTATAAACTAGCTTTATGTCCAAAAGTTTGTTCCTGCAACTAGGGGCTACGAAACTTGTAACAGGTAGCAGAGTTAATTTCTGGAAGTGAAAAGCTGATTACCTCAAGAGGAGGTGAACCTTTGCAAGTTACTTCTGAAGTAAGCTGTAAGTGCTGTGGCATTTTTGAAAGGGCCTTCTGAGGTCATGAGCAGGAGCTATGACTGAGTCCAAGAAGTCAAGGTGCAGAGGTGGGTGTTCAGATTAATTAAGTAGAGCTGCTGCTAGGTAAAAAGTTAAAAGTGGGCCGAACATGCTTCCTATAATGAGGATAATGATGGTGGTTTATTTATTTCATTTCTATACCACCCCATAGCCAAGAGTCTCTGGGAATTATTATTATTATTTTTAAAGTTAGGAAGCATTCAATTTAATGAATTTTAAAACTATTCATATAGTTTTAAGACTATTCATATATATTTACAAACAGGAAGAGTATCATAGTACCTTGATTTAGATAACTGTCCATATTTAATCATAATGATATAGTGGTAGTAATACACTGCTATTGTACTTTTCTGAATGCTATATTTTAAGGGATACATAGATTTCATCTTAAATACAGTGGGGTGAGGTTGTTTGTTTTTGTAGCAATGTAACCTCACAGGGATCCATGAGCAGGCCTTTGGACTTTGTTAAATTCCCTGATTGCCTAAGCTCTGATGACACTTGCCAAATAGATTCATATAGGATTTTAATGATGCTACTGTGAGAGCAACAGAACTGAAACTCTGCTAAGAAACATGCTAGCCACTGTATCTATGGTGCTACTAAACTTCCTAACTGCAGTGTGTAGCGATGCGTATCAGCACATTTTATCATGGCAATGTTCTGATATTCTCTAGTATTCTTTGAGCAATAAATATATATTTTGTGATTCTATGTTGTGTTATTTTTTTTTTTTTGAGGGGAGCTTCAGGGTCCACAACCCAAATAAGCCATCCTCTGATCCCTGGATGATTATTTTAGGGACCATGGAATGGCTCATAAAGTCCTACTGAGGTCAAAAGTGGCACTCTTGACCTTGGAAGGAGACTACAGAGTGGACCACTGACCTCACCTCATCATAGCCAATGCAGAGATAACCTTGCTAGCTGCCTCTCTGAGTCTGGTAAATCAACTTCAGAGAGGAAGAAAAGGCAGTGTTCTACTGAGAGGAGACCAGAAATACTACGATTCCTCCTTTGTCTCTTTCCTTCCCTGCCCAAGGATGGGTGGGAAAAGGTCAGCTCTGCCAGTCCTCCCAAGTTATTTCTTGAAGCCCAAAGCACTCTGCTGTTGCTCAGTGGGATCCAGCCAGCCAGCCACTCACAGACACACCTTTTCAAGTACAGGGAACATGCTAGTCTGATGCACCTCGACATTCAGTATGTATTTATTCACCTGCCATGTGCTAAATACCATCCAGTCAGCTGTCAGTTACTGTGAAATGTGACATGCTTGCTTCGTGATAATCATCAAGGTTTCTCAGATGCTGAATAAATACAAAATGTCACATATTAAAATCTAAGGAGCACTACAGTTTGCAAATGCAACAGAGTGCTGCAATTTCAAAATATCATAGGATGTCAAAGTATTAAACTTCAGTGCCTTTTTGGCAAATATACAGGTATTTGGGTAATCAAGTAATTTGGCAAATATTTGGAAAATACACAACATGAAATCAGAAGAGAATTTGGATATGAAATGTGGCGGGAGAGGCAGGCAAAACTGTGTTGTTTCTAGAAAGTAGTACCCTAACAAGGTACACATAGATTTTTTTTAAAAAAAATCAGAATTTAAAACTTTCCTCTTTTAGGGTAGCCTTCCCCAACCTGGTGCCTCCAGAAGTATTGGACAGCCGTGCCCACTATCCCCAGTGCTGCCGCCCTCACTTGCTGAGAATCATGGTGCTTGCAATGCAGCTGTGTCTCAATGCCCTGCAACCTGGTGGAGCTGGCTCTTCTGCTTTCCACAGAAAGGATGCAACAGCAGTCTCCACTTGGTGAAAACTTTTGTTGTGACTTTTGGAGTTCACAAACAGGAAAGCCTCTTGGAGCAAGAAGCCTGCCAGATTTGGGGAAAGCAGCCAAATTGCCAATGTCCTCTACATCTGATTAAGTTCCTTCCATGAGCTCAGCTCATATGCATTAGTTTCATACTATGGTTTTCTTTCCTTTTTAGTATCCTTCCACCCCCTTCTTGATATTCTAACAAACATTTTCTCTTAATTTGGGTTGGAGACATAATGTGTCGCTTCTTAACTGAGAGGTTCCTCTTTTCCCACATTGCCTAACAACTTAGCACCACTGCCAGAGTTCTCAGGTTTCTGTGAAGGGGGAAGGGGGGCCACGTTGCTTTGGCAGGCACAGATGAGCTCAGCATGGTGCTTCCCCCCAACTCAGGCAGATTACTGGCTCCTAACCCCCATCTCCTCTTTTTCTAGTGTTAGAGAAAAGGAGGGAACCACCAGTCAGCCTCAAACTGAACATTTTTAGCCCTGGTGGAGGAGAAACTGTGGCAGACCACCATCCATTGCAAGCTGCATTCAGAGATCTTTTATTATAGTCATTAAAATAAAGCACACTATACAAGCCTAGCCTTTAAAATTAAGCACATAATTGAAGACCAAGCTACTTTGGGCGCATCATGATAAGGCAGGACTTGCTGGAGAAGACAATAATGCTGAGGAAAATCGAAAGCAGAAGAAGAAAAGAAAGAGTAAATAGATGATGGATCAATCCCATAAAGGAAGCCAGAGCCTAGTTTACAAGAGCTGATGGAACATTTTGGAAGGAATTTATTCCGGGGGCTTACCATAAGTCAGAGGTTATTTGGTGGCATGTTACAGCAGCAACAAGACCAAAGATTTACTATTCCAGTATCCTGTTTCCAACAGTGGTCAGTTCACAAGCAGAATAAGCAAAGTGCACACTCTCAGTTTGACTCACCAGAGCTGTTCTTAGTTTGACATAGTCTTAAAGAATAGCCAGAAATCACTCCAGGCTTAAATTCAATGTTATTTGGATGCCCAGTTTCGGACATCTTTAGGTAGCATGGGCATTTACTGTAAAGAAAAACAACTAATTACAGTAGAATCACCCTAAAAAGATGACTTAGCATACAACTAAATTGCAAATTGAAGTACTGTGAGATATATTTCTTTTGAAAAATTACTTACCCTCCTTGTTGGCACAGTGTTTCATTGGAAACATATGTAAAAAACTGGCAGCGGACTGTGTCTGTACAAATCTGTTGACATGTCTCCTGTTCGTTAACATACTCCACACTCAGTTGCTCACCCAGAAAGTGTAAATTGGGGTATGTTGGAAAATGACAGGCTGCGACATTTTTGCAAACAGTGTAAAAAAAATCAGTAAATTAATATAGCATTGGGCAATACATTGATAGGTTATGAGATTTGAATGGTGGAAATTTGGAGTGGATACAGGGAGACAAGTATAATTTATCCATTACCAGGTATGAGTCTTGGGCAGTTTACAATACTGAAGCCTGAAATAGCATTTTCCATTTGAAACATTTTATCTGGCATTCCACTTCTTGATGTCATCATGTGACAGGTATACCTAAAATAAAACATTAAATAAACAAAAAACTGTTATTGATCAGTAGGCTCTCTGGGCCTTGGCTGCATTGATACATCACATTCTTCAGCCCTTCAAACTGTAGTTGGACTAAATTTTGGAAAGAAGGCATCCCTAGTGCTTTTTCCCTTCCCTATAACCATTTATTTCTATATTTATTATATTTCTGTGCAGTCCAATAGCCAAAGCACCCAAATGCAACATGATAAACTATTTTTTGAAATAGAACTCCAGTATAAAATAAAACAAGCAAATCTAACAAAGCAGCAATGCATAGATTTAAAATGCAGTAAAAGAGCTGAAACTGGAAAACTAAAATGCCTAGCAAGCTTAAATGTCCTTCACCTTGCTCTGAAAAAAACAGTATAGGCACCAGATGAATCGTGGGAAAGACCCTTTTCTTTGTAGCCACTCACCTCACTACCTTTGGAGTGGACTCCTGGGAAATTACCAATAAGGATGGTTTTATGTTCCAGGCATGTGTATATGAGAAGAGGTGATCCTTCAGGTCACCTGACACCAGCCCTTTAGGGTTTGAATGTTAATACCAGCACTTAGAATTTAGTTTTCATCCTTCCCTAATGCATCCGGTTTGACAGTACAGTTGCTGATGTGTTAAAGTGGTTGGATGGTCCAGCCAAAAAGCAGTGTGTGACTAGATGGCTTTTTATTTATTCCCAGCAGTGATTTGCTCTAAAAGTGATGTTCTGTGTGTGTGTGTGTCTATTACCTGCTCCAATGTTCATTTTCACCCTTTGGTGTCATCCTTTCACTTGAGAAAACACCACACCATGTTTTCCCTACCACCACTCTCAATGCCACTGCATCTTCTCCGTCCCCATCTCCTCCTTGCCTTCTCTACACCATGAGCATCTTTGTCCCTCTCACGCTACCTTTAGATCAGCCTAGATGCCTTCCCTGGACAGAAGACAAATGGCTAGAAGTGGCAGGACCTGTACTCAGACCAGGTCAGGTGAGATGTGCATCATGCAAGTGGACCCCCACAAAGCTCTGTACGGATAGACAGACACTGATACTGCCAGTCTCTAGCAACTGGAGAAGCTGGGTGCAGGCTGCTGTGTACACACACAAGTATCTCAAACCAGAGCAGTGATTATCTATTTCACATAGACCATTATCATGCCTTCTTTCCAATGTGCTACTAGAAAGCAGGACATCTTCAAGCTATGGTGGACATACTTGTAACGCAAACTGGCTTAAAGCTCACTCTGCAACAGAAGAGTTAACTGACAAACTGGGCAAACTGCTGCACTTGCCAGGTGTTGGTTCAAGGAGACAAAGCCACAGGAGGGCCAGACAGGCCTTGGGAATGCAAAGGAGTCAGATATTGTAACTTAGAGCCGAGGAGAGGAGATTGGGAGAATAAGGGCAGATGGTCTTCACTTGGCTCTCCCATATAGTGTCACTCCATGTGCTATCTGGTGGACAAGGGGGAGTAAAAGAAGGGAGCCGACAGGAGCTTGGGGTACCTCTTTGAGAAGAGGCTCCATCCTTGCTTCCAGAGGCTTTGCCGAAGAATGCTGTGCTCCCCCAGATCTTTGAACTATGTAACTGGTGTTGTACCCGTGTGCGTAGCTAGACTGGGAAGCTTTGCTATTTTGAGTCCGAGGAGACCAACCGAGCCTGGGGTCTTGGCAGGGGAGCTTGATTGCCTGTGAAGTATGTCTGTGCTGCTCTCCAAATCCCCTTCTCCTTTCCCCTTTTGTGTAACTGTGCCTTGTGTGTTTTAGCTGTTTTAGCACCCTCCACCTTTTCAGCCTTTTAATAAAATCCTTTCCCCCCACCATTTGGGTTTTTGTGTGCTGAATCCAGGGCCTGGCCTGGGATCCAGGGCCAGGGGGTACTTGGGTGAAGATTAAAGCCCCATGTGCCACAGGGAGGTGGGGACTCCAGGGCAACTGACCACTACAATACTCACCTTTTGATGGTTACCACCCATTTACTGTTATGAAAGGTAAAAAACAAGCACTTTGGGTTGTATGTGCAAAATATCCTACATGCAAAGGCATCAGGTGCCCAGATGGTTGCAGTGGTGATACCAGAAAATACAGCATTTTGGAAAATGTCCATTCGACAATCTGCATAGAAAAGGAATTGATAAAGTCAAAGTAGTCCTTCAAATAATCCAGCAAATAATACACAGAGCCACTTTGGGCTGTGAGCTGTGAAATCAAATTCTCTATACTTTTAGAATATGTGTTCTGTTACAAATTCCTGCACCAAGTGTTTGTGTCACTGCAGAATCTTACATTATAAGGCCAGTAACTTCCTAAAAACATATGTTCAACTCTGTAGGTGGAGCTCATTTTGATCTATCTTTCAGCATTGCCCACCTCACAAAACATAATGTAACAAGATTAGTACCATTCTGGATGGACTCAAATGTGAAATGACAGTGGTTCATAATAATTTCCTTGTGCATATAAAATTCTGCAATAATTTAGACTGCATCTTGTGCGTAACAGAATTACCCTACATGCACTGTGTTAACGATATCTGTCCTATTTTTCTTTTCTTTAGGATTTAAATATTTACCTGTTTCAGCCTCTTGACAGGTTCTTAATGAGAATCCAGATATAACATTTTTCAGGTGCCTTATACGGGTTGGTGTTCCTGTGTTGCTGTGCTTCAAGTAGCATTTATTTCTGAATGAGAAAGGTAGGAAGGTAATATTTACAAATGCATACAACAGCTCAAATCCTTTGGTCTGCACAGTGTTTTCAAAGGAAATGTTTTTCTGTCTTTCTAAAACTCAGGATGGGACTCCAAGTAACAGTGCTTGGCATGCAAGGATGCAGTGCTGGGCACTAGATTAGGGTCGGAGTATACAGTAATGATTCGATAGCTCATAGCTGTGGCTTGCCACTTTGACAATAGAGTAGGTATGCATGGTTTCATTCATTCAGATTGGAACTACTTTACACACAAATAAACCTACACACCATTTGCTTCCTAAAATTCGTTCACATGTGTGTGTGGGTGTAAAAAAGTGGGAGAGAACTCTTGATTACATAGTTTTAGGAAATGTTATAGATGGATTTATCAGTGAAGGTTAGCCATCAAAGCTAAATGAGGTTATATCATTCTTTTCTTCATATCAAATGTTGAAGAGAAAGGGGGGCGGATTTCCTTTATTTTTAATTATTTTCAGAGTGTGTGCTGTACAGTTTATCATCAAGCTTCCTGATTATTTGCTTGTCACACACACACACACACACACACACACACCCTTCTTGCTTTGTGGAACTTTAGGTTCTTCCAGACAGAACTCCTTAGTGCTACCCCTCAAAAGCTAATGTGCACATGTTCCATCTCTATCTCCTGAAGAGATGTGTTTGTGGTAAAAAATTAAAAATGGGCAGGACAAAGTATGAATAAATAGTGGAGAGATCCAAATAGGTGTTGTGTGCACCACCTGTTAAAGTCTGTGATTAAGCCTCATTTGGGAGCAACCTTAGATCTTTACTCTATCGAAACGTGTGTCAACTGTTATTTGGATTGTTCAAATTCTTTAAAGTAGGGTTTTGAATGTTAAGATAGATGTATAATTAGGGAAGCTTAGACCTAGACAGAATAGGCATATGAAGCTGGGTTGGCTGTAGTGGGCTTCCCTGCTCCCCTCCACATGGCAGCCCCCTGAAAATCCTACACAGAGTTTGGAGAACCCTGCTGCATAGGATGAGCATAGGATGGGGATGGGCTTGAGGGAGGTACTATAAGTTGGGCGGAAACACCTACGGTGATCAGAGCCCTTCCATCCACAGAAGGCAGATCCTGGATCTAATTCAGGGCTGCTATCCTGAATTTATTGGTCAATTTCAAGTTTCTAATTTCCCCTGAAGGACCAATTCCGTTCAAAGAGCTTTACACAGAACACATCCAGAATTGCTTATTGCAATGTGTTTTCCTATGTAACGTTTCTTTTGTTTTCCAGCTTTTCTTTCTGCAACTTGTTTGACACCTCTTAAAGTTCACAGTGGCTAGCTCAATAACCAATGCCATGGTTTATGCAACTATGCTCATTTCCGAGGAAATCCCCCACCTCCAGTCCCAGTTGGTCACATTATGAGGGCTCCCTGCTGCGCCACTGGAACACAGCAATGTCCATCCATCACCTGGGTTGATAGAAAAACTGCACACAACAGCAGAAGAGAAACTCCAACTCTAAAACTAATAACTTTTTGCATGGATTCAAACTTTAGCCAAATCTGACCTTTCAAGCCTGAGCATTTAAATTCGGCAATCTGACTTTTAAGTCAGGTCAATCATGTTAATTATTGCTATATTCAGTAGGTTCTGTAAAGGTCTGGAGGAGGAGGGAGTGAGCAGGCATCTGGCAGCCTGTGAATAAGCTTCCCCTCCATGTATTTCCCCAAATGCATGTAGGTCTGGGCAGAGACCAGCCTAAAGAGCCTCCTTCAGCCTGAGGGCTGCATTGACTTTGGTGAAGGATTCATGGGCCACATTCCAGTCATGGGGTCCAAAGTGGGGCCCAAATTTTAGCTTCAAGCTCTTACTGCCACTGACTACGTCTTAAGAGAAGAATATCAGCCTATTGGAACAGGGGGAAACTACCAAAGGAGCAGTGACTGGGGGAAAGGGTACATGGCCAGGAGAAGGGTGTGTGGCCTTCTGGGAACTGAGTTTCTACAGCTCTTGTGGAGACCTGGTGGAGACGGGGGCATCGGGCATGCAGCTCTGCCCTGCCCTCTGCACATACCTCTGAAAGCTCAGAAGGAATTTCTAAAGAGAAGAGGGACTGGAGTAAGGAATCAATTCCCTCCACTTTGCACCCACCAGTCGATATAAGGGGGAGGCTGGGTTGTGTAGTGATCACAAATAGGGTGTGTGTATTTTGTTAAATCTGTTCCATCTGTGTTTTGCAGATTGCCAGGCAGCTTTCATTCACTCTTACACTCATTACCCAAATCAGATTTCCCCCCACTTGCAATAGTTCACTAATGTGCACTTCCACTACCAGGCAGTTAGTGTGAATTCCCCACAAAACTGGAAATAAATCTACAAGTCCACCTGACCTGGAGAAAGCCAGTCTGCTGTGGCATCCGCAGCTCAGATTCAAAGACACCCAAACTCACTCAAATCCATTAGGAATTACTCCAACATTCCTAATCACAAAGCAAGGCTGGCTACAAAAGAGGGTAAATGTGTGGATCCCCTATAGTGTTGTCAATGAAGGGAGCCCTCTTTGCCATACCAGCACAATGGGTGGAGCTGGAGGGGATATTCAATCAGTTGCTTTGGATCATGCGAGCATTCTAGGGAAGTGGAAAAAAAAAACACCAAGGGATGGATGAACCTGAAGAAAGTGGGAAGGGAGGCAGGGTTGAGAAGGTGAAGCAAAGCTATAGGCAGGAGGCTTCTGGAAGATGAGTAACACGGGGTAGCATCAATATCAGGCTTTCACATGGGTCTCGGCATTTGTCCAATGGAAAACAGAGCACTCTCTGCCTGTCGAAGACTATCGAGGACTATCGAGAGTTTCCAGGTGCATAGATTATAGGATTGTAGCCTGGGAAAACATTGAGCCAGAAGGCTACAGCTCATTTACTTCATTAAGCTTCAAATCACTTGCACAATTAATAGAAATTGTCCACCCCTGTATTAGAAGAACTGTGTGATTTCTGATTGAAGCTTAAACTCAGAGTAATAAATGTGGTGACTAATTTGAAAAAAAAAAATCTTCATGTGAATTATGTAGACTCTCAAGTTTGAATGCATTTTTGGCCCCAGTCCAACTACAGACAGAATTAAACTATATGCTGTGTTAATTGTAAAAGCTCAGGGTTTTCCTTTTTTTACTCTAGTGTAAGCACATGATATAGACTGGGGTCACAGCCTTGAAAAAGACAGGAAAAAACTTTCCCCCAGTAGCATTTTTCCCCTTATATACATTGGGAATGTTTTTCTTTCTGTGTTCAGGAGGAAAAGGTGTTCAGAGATTTAATCATCCTCTTCTAGAACTTGGTATTCCAATCCAAATGTGGACCATGTGCACTTACATTACAGTAAATAAAAAGATGGCAACAATGAATGCACCAGGAAATCATCACATGTAAGGACGTTTTATCGCAGACCAAGGCCAAGATTATCCCCACTTCTGTATTCCTTGTTCGCTATGTATAAGCATGAAAGCTGGATAGTGAAGAAAGCTGGCAGGAAGAAATGGATTCATTTGACACGTGATGCTGGAACACCTTGGACCGACGGAAAGATAAATAAGTCGGTCCTAGATAAAATCAAGCCAGAACTTTCCCTAGAAACATACGTGAGAAAACTGAGGCTGCCATACTTGGGGCACATCATGAGAAAGAAAGACACAGTGGAGAAGATGATCATGTGAGGAAAGTTGGAGGCAGAAGACAAAAGGAAGGATCAAATACGAGATGGACTGAATCCATAAAGCAATCCACAGCCTTGAACTAGGAAAAGCTGAATGGGGCTGTCATGTCCAGGACATTTTGGAGGGCTTTCACGCATAGGGTCGACTTGATGGCACAAAACAGTGAAAATAAAAAGATATCCCTGAGCTACACACTGTGTGATCAGCATAATGAGAGGTTTTTCTCTTGATTGTGACTAAGTTCCACTGGAACCCAATAGCAGTGTCTGTTCTCACTCATTCATGTCCCATCATTTTCGATCAACTAAGTGTCAGCTAACTATAGCCAGACTGAAGATGAAGATTTGACAGTCACAGCTGAATCGTATGTACTGCTCTGCTGAGACAGAGGATCCCAGGGTCAACACAGCGAACTGTTTATCTGCTGGTACCACTGCAGGAAGTTCTGGCAACCCTTACATTGGCACAACGGAAGCTGGATACTTTGCCAGCTCCCTTATTCCCCGGTGAGGCAGAGCCATGCCAAGCAAGCAGTGTCAGCAACAATCTGTTAACATTTAATTGCATATACACTTTGTTGATCCTGGAATCAAGAGCCAGTGCCACTGTTCCCTTCCATGGAAAGCACACTGGAGAAGCCCTTCCAAGTCTCGCTTGCCTCATACAGCAGATCATACATGGAACAAGTCACCCTTGGGGTCCACCAGGTGGGCTTGAAGGTCCTAAAAACATGCTATTTCACTCTGGCCATTCTTGATGTGATCTGATAGGATGCATTGCTGGTTATGCCATTAGCTTATCCTGCTATGTTTATTATTTTAAATAGTATATCAGTTTTACATGTTTTATTCCTGTACACAGGCTTGAGAGGGCTCTTGAAGAAATATTCTAAATAAATACATAATATTGTTTTAATTGCCACAGGTAAGATACTGTTTGTTGATACTCGAGTATCAAAGTGCCCATCATTGCCTCCCTGGTCCTTTCAAAGGAAGAGTCTGAATATTCATTACCGGAAGTTTGGTGTGTGAAACAATGCCATGGTGTATGTGAAAAAGTGACAGTGATTATCATTGGTGCATCTTCTTTGGCAGTTGTGATAGTTCGTCTCAGTAGTTATATTGTAATTTTGTCCTTGCATGTCCAATCCTTCAAATGTTTTGGTGGTGCAGGCTGGAGAACAAGAGACAGTAGTCTGAAGATGTGGAAGAAAACCAGTTGTAAAACATCAGAGGTCTTTGAAGTCATGCCCTGGTGTCTTACCTCTTATGCCAGCAGCCTTATGTGAACCAGAAGGCTAGAAGACAGAGGTTTGGGTTTTGAGGACAGTACCAAGTGATCTCAAAGCCCAGCCCCAGTGAGCCAGATCTTATAAAGCCTAGAGCTAACTCCTAGTCCAAACAACTGATCTGTATAGGGGAAAGTCTCCCTAATTCCTTCTCCCTTCTGCTGCCTCCAATGATAATTCTTATTTATTAATTATAGTTATAGGATGCTTATAAAACAAATTCAAAAGTATGGTAGGAGCTGGTACTTCGCAAATGTTTTCTCCATCCCAAATAAATAGACAGCCAAATAAATGAATGAATGAATATCCCCTCCTTCCTCCCATCAATGGAAGGGAAACGCTTCCACTTGGTCATGAGCACATCTACATGTTTCCCAGGTACAAGGTCACAGGCTGTGGGTCCTGTCAGAGAGGAAGAAACCTAGCAAGCTTCCATCGGTCCATTTCACCCAAGATTCTCAACATGGACCGGCAGCTGCAGTTTCAGGCAAGTTTATTTTTTCCCATCTCTACCTGGACATGCTGAAGATAAAACCTCTGGTCCTGTGAATGCAAAGCATGTGCCCCCCCTCTCCACCAACACTCATTTCTTTCCCTTCCCAAACTTGGGAGAAGGAGCAACTATTAGGTTTTCTGCACTAGCTGGGAGGGTCTTGCAGGGGATGGGGATGCAAAAACGGAGCTCTTCCAAAGTTTCTTATATCAGTTAACTGTGTCTCTAACCTGAGACCTCTGGGACACTGCCCAGGGTGTTAGGATTGTTCTGTAGGTGTCATATTTTTTTAAAAAAATCAAATAAAATGGAATAGAGCATGATGCTCTAAAAGTACAGCATAACATAAAAAAGTAAAAATACAAAACCACATACAAAGGCAGCATGATAGAATACACAGATAAAACTGAACTGATACAATGCAGTAAAAATGGGAAGATAAATCAAACCAAGAATTAGACAAGACTTAAAAGCCATATATATCAGGATATGTATCAGGAATTAAATAGAAAGATTTAAGATAGAAAAGATATAAAAGTCCTGGGAAACAATAAAAGATAAATATCACTGGCACCAGGGGAAATTCCCTGGGGAAAGTATTCCATCATGCAGGATCTTTCTCTGGTAGCCACTGTCTGAGCTCCAGGTTGATGGAGGGATTTCAAGAAGGGCCTCTAGAGATGACTTTAGGCTGCAGTTAGTTACCTATGGGAAGCAGCTTCCATCAGATATGGACAAAGTCCCAAAATGCGAAAAGCTTTGTAAGTCAAACCCAGCCTGACTTGACATCATGCCTGCTTCTGGACCTTGCTTTTGCTGTCTCAGTTCTCCTGCTTCTGCCCCTCCATACTCAGATCTTCCTCCCCTGAAACTTACTGTATTTTTCCATGTATAAGACAACACTTTTCTTAAAAATATTCACCTAAAAATGGAGGGGCGTCTTATGCACAGGGAGCAGAGAGGAGAACTGGGGAGGGGGGCTCAATCATGGGTGCACTTGGGGGGGAGGCAGGTGCAGGCACGATCGAGGGGAGGCGGGTGCGGGTGCAACTGGGGGGAGGCAGGTGCGGGCACGCAGCAGCAGCAGCTTGCTCACTCGGAGATCAGTAAGAAAAGTGGGGGGGGGGATCCTATACATGGGAACGTCTTATAGCTGTAAAAATACAGTAACTGTGTTTTAGACCGTGTGCCTGCCCTTGTCTTTGAGCAAGCAACTAGGACTCAGTGCTCAAGAGCCGTTCTCAGGCCTGGCACCAAGTCCTTTCTGTGCCAGCTTCTTATTTTCCCAGATTTTACTATTTTAAATTCTTTTTCTGCTTCCTAGATCTTGCCCAACAGCTACTCTGTACTGCTATTCTAACTCAGGTTTTATGCAAGATTTATGCTAAGCTTTACTTCATTATAGAATCTTAATGTTTATTGCAAACCCAAAAACTTTGTTATTGGTCAGTATATAAATATTGTGAATAAATTTAATATAAGCAAACCTGTGTACACCTAGTCAAAAGCAAGCTTATTGGATCCAAGGAGGCTTATCTGCAAGTGTCTGAGAAGGATGGCAACCATAATTAATTTGATAAACTGATTAAGCATCTTTGGATCAACTAAAGGTGTTCCTAAGTCACCAGGTAGCACGTTAGACATATATTTAATGCAATGTGTAAAGCCTACATTGACTAGTGTCATTTTAAACAATATTTTTACCCTCAAACAGTAGAGGATACCTAGCACTGGCTACCATAACACATGTGCATCATCTAAAAGCAAGAAAAGTAAGCCTTTCAATTCAAAACCGCTCCTTTTACTTATATGAAAGGTTACCCATTAATCCGTTCAAGTGCATACGATTATTCAATAAAGTAACATTTGTTCTCCTCTATTTGGACTGTGTGGAATAAAAGCCTAAGGCCCTGATACTCCCAACACAGCCTCTTCCTGAATTTTTCATAGCAAAGGAATGCACCAACAGGAAAAGTCATCATTTCAAGTGGTCAGAGCCCAGAATGTGAATTGCTAACTAATTTTTTTCAGCACCCTGCTGGCATTCTCTTTTGTGCCCCACCCCATCAAGACCACCTTTGCTTACTCTTAAGGGTCTCTCCCTCACTTTCTTATTTCTGCTGCACTGTCTCCTCTTCCTTTTCTTTATTTACCTCCCTAGTAAGTCACACCACAGACTTAGTTTCCAAGACCAGGTTTTCTATTCCACAGTTATGTGCCCTCAACCATTTCCTCTGGCTGTTCCTTGCCTATCATACCCAATCCCAGCATCTTCCCAGAAGCTGAGCAGATCCAGACTTGGCTAGAAGTCAGATGAGACTTCATCTGTTTAGTATACACATGAGAAATCACCTGGGGAACACCAGATACTGTAGGTTCTGTGTTAAGAGAATGGGTTTGATGGTCCAGGTGCCCTGGCATCTTCACAAAGGGCTGATGAAGACTCCTGTCTGAAAGCCATGAGACATGCTACCAATCATGGTCCACAATACTGAGCCAGAGGGACCATTGTGTTGACATTCCTTCATTCCTTTGATTACATTCTGTGGTTTCTGAACTACCAGATCTTACCAGTGATTTGAGGGCATTGTTTCTGAGAATGTCCAGAGATTATTCCTTCCTTGTGTATCTTTGGCAAATCTTGTAAATTAGCATCTTTCAGGAAGCATGAAAACCTGAGGTTAAGCATGGAAAAAGCACCTTATTGATATATATGCATTTCTGATTTAAGCCAATAAAACCTGGGGAAACCATGATGATGTCAAGATTTAACTATAAGCTGCTCAATACAAGAACCTTTCCTTTGCTTATGTTACATTACAAAGTTCCTCATATATTGACAGCACTATAGACATGCATCAAGAAAACTTCAGTCAGATACGGTGACTTAGGCATTACCTTTCATCAGATTTTGCCCAGTTTCCTGGCACGTAGGAGAATACTAGACATCGTGGGTGATACGTGCACACTGTTTGACAGAACTTGGCATTTGGGGCATAAAATTTAGCAACATCGCCTCCTTTGAGATAGATGTTTTTGTAGATATGAGACACACATGCTGAGGAAGAGAAAGAATGCACAGTGTTAGCAACACTCATCCATGCTCAAAGGAGCTTTGTTTTGGCAAAGAAGGACAACGTTAGGCCTTGGCCAATGTGCTGCCACTGCTCAGTGAGGTGCCACACTGGCAGTCACAAGACAGAAACCTGAAGGAGACTAAGGGTGCAATCCTGTGCATGTTTACTCACAAGAAGTCCTATACATTCCAGCATTCTCCAGCCAGGGCTTTTGGGGACTTTTTTCTGTCACAACATGCATAGGCTTGTACCATTACTGCTCTGGTTCCTTCTGGCATTCAGTTCAGACCAGTCTTTCCCTCCATTTTTGATGTTCAGTCTGTGAGTATGGTTTCTTGTGGAGACAAAAGACAACAAGTGGGATGTATCTAAAGGCTTGTGGGGACCACAAAGCTTTCAGACGTTCTAAATATCTTGGAATTGGCGGGGGGGGGGGGGGGGAAGGGGGAGAAAACACCTGACAGAGAAACCTAATAACCACTGAGCTTACTCAGTCACCGCAGAATGCTGAATGACTATTGGGAAAACACAAAAGGATAGAATAGCATTCTGGGGGAATAGAATTCTGAGGATAGAATTCTTACATTTGGTTGAAGTTCCTACCTGTGTGCTTGAAGAAGCCATTGCATTTTTCTAGATGAGGCTCTTAACCCACTGCTTCACTGTGGTTTGTCATTTATTTATTTATTTATTTAGGAGACTTCTATGCCGCCCCATTCGCCGAAGCCTCAGGGCGGCTCACAACCATAAATAAACTTCAAAATAGGATAATATAAATTAACAATATAAATTAAGTTGCCCTGGCCAAAGAATAAAATGAATAAATAATATTAACAATTAAAATAACATTTGAATAAAAAGGTCTTCTCCTGGAGCCGAAAAACAAATAACGACGGCGCCAGGTGGACCTCTCTGGGGAGCGCATTCCATAGATTGGGCGCCACCGCAGAGAAGGCCCTCCTCCGAGTACTCACCCTCCTAATTTCCTTCATGGAGGGCTCCCGGAGAAGGGCCTCTCCCTCAGATCTCAAGGGGTGGGCGGGCATATATGGACGTAATTGCTCCTTCAGGTAACCAGGACCCAAGCCGTTTAGGGCTTTATAGGTCATCACCAACACCTTGAATTGGGCCCAGACTTCAATGGGAAGCCAGTGAAGCTGACGGAGGACTGGAGTCATGTGAACATAACGCCCAGTCTCCGTCAGCAGCCTGGCAGCTCTATTTTGAACCAATTGAAGTATCCGGACCGTCTTCAAGGGTAGCCCCACGTAAAGCGCGTTACAGAAGTCAAGACGGGAAGTCACCAACGCATGTGTCACTGTCACCAGGCAGTCGTACTCCAGGTAGGAGCGCAGCTGATGGATCAGCCGAAGCTGAAAGAAAGAGCTGCTCACCACCATTGTCACCTGAGCTTCCAGTGAAAGCTCTGGGTCGAGGAGCACTCCCAAGCTGCGAACCTTGTCCCTAAGAGGGAGTGCAACCCCATTTAGGAGTAAGTTCAATTCACCCTCCCCAAAGCCCGATCCGCCAACCAACAGGACCTCCGTCTTGTCTGGATTGAGCTTCAGTTTATTGGCCCTCATCCAGCCCATTACCTCGGCCAGGCACCGGTTCAGCACAGCCACTGCCTCACCTGGATTGGTGGAAAATGAGAGGTAGAGCTGGGTATCATCAGCGTACTGGTGATTCCGCAGCCCACACCTCCTGATGACCTCTCCCAGCGGTTTCATGTAGACGTTAAACAGCAAAGGGGACAAAATGGATCCCTGCGGTACTCCATGGCATAGCTGCCTTGATGCAGAGCCATAGTCCCCCAGCACCACCTTCTGGAATCGGCCATTGAGACAGGAGCGGAACCACTGCAAAGCAGTGCCTCTGACCCCCAATCCCGCTAGCATATCCAGAAGGATACCATTGTTGATGGTATCGAAAGCCGCTGAGAGGTCCAGGAGAACCAACAGGGACACACTCCCCCGTCCTTCTCCCTGCACAGGTCATTGTACAGGGCGACCAAGGCAGATTCAGTACCGTACCTGGGTCTGAAGCCTGACTGAAATGGGTCCAGATAATCAGTTTCATCCAAGAGTGCTTGGAGTTGTTCCCCCACCACCCGCTCCTACACCTTGCCCAGAAACGGGATGTTGACCACTGGTCTATAATTAGTGGCCATCTCTGGATCCAGTGACGCTTTCTTCAGGACCGGTCGGACTACTGCCTCCTTTAAAGGGCAAGTACCTGACCCTCCCTCAGAGAAGCATTAACCACTTCCAAGATCCAGATTCCAATCCCATGCTTGACGTTGTTTATTAACCAAGATAGGCAAGGGTCCAATAGGCAAGTGGTGGGACGTACTCGTCCAAGCACCTTGTCCACATCATCAGGCCGCAATAACTGAAATTCATCCATTAATTTTGGACCAGATGGCAACATTGGTATCTCCCCAGAAGCCTCTGAATCACTAGTAGAGTCTAGCTCGTGACGAATCTGAGCGATTTTCTCCCTGAAATGCTTGGCAAAGTCGTCACAGTGGGCCTTCAAGGGTGGAACCAGATCTTTCTTAGGGCCAAGGTGGACCAGGCCTTGTACCACTCGAAAAAGCTCCGCCGGACGGCATTTTGAGGAGGCAATGGAAACGGAGAAGAATTTCTTTTTCGTCATTTGGGTTTGTCTAGAACATCTACACAAAATTTTCCTTCTTGTTCTTTATATTCTGCCACATAAGTTCTAGCTGGTGCTGTGGTATAGTGGAATTGCCCAACTGCACTAGTGTTTGCCTTTCCCCCAAAATGCTGGATCAAAAAAACCCCAACAAAATGTTCAGAAAGTACAGAAAAGGGCCTGGAGGAGGGTAGCATAGTGTAACTGCCAATAAACAACCACGAGGTGAGAACCGGGAGAACAAATTGTTTCATTTGGCTCTTACCCAAACATCCTTGCTCACTACATTAACATTTCATTCTTCTTGCATGTGCCAATATTTCGGATCACCCTTCCCTTTTCATTTAAATCTAATTTCAGTTGAGGTGGACAATGATTCTGGGCTTTTCCCCATTGTTTATATAAAATGTGCTCAAATTTCTAATAACAACCCACCATCACTCACTGCTCCCCCAAATAACTTTTCTCAGTTTCATGTTGCTTTAGGCAAAGAACTCCTTGGTCTAAAACTCCTTGTGTCTGCATCATGTGCAGGTACAAGATCGATTCCTCTCTGCCTTTTGCAGGCACAGTTTGCTACAAACATGAGAAAATCTATCATCAAGTTCCCAAATAAATCTCAGATTCACAGCCAAACTAGCCAAGACCTCCCAGAGGACAGCAGTACTTGGGTGAATGTTTTTTTCACAAGAAATTGCAGAGGCTGAGGGGGAAGAGGCTGATCCATATCAGAACTATAATGTATGTGGGGAATTTAATTCCCCGCACTCCCACCTCCACTAAGTTCCCTTTCCTGCTATTTGCAATGAAAATTGGAAGGGAAGACAAATGCAAATAGCTGACAAGGAAGAGGTGGATGAATCTGATGGGGCCACAGTGCAAGACAAAGGGTTCAAGTGCCATGCCCTTACTCTAGGATCCCAGTTCAGGTCTGAGACCTCACACCCACAGTGTATGTTCACCCCTAGCTACTACTCGGTGCTAGTTGAGCAACTAGTTTGGCTTCCAGTTTCCCAGCTAATTCACTCTTCCATTTCTGATAACTGTTAGCCCCAAGGAGTTCATGATTGAATATACTAATCTGGAGAAGCTTTGTTTGCAGCAGAATCCAAATGGCTCCAGCTGTTCCTCCTCAAATGAGATGTGACTTCACAAAAAGCTAACCTTCACCACCTCTTCCAACAAGGGTTTGTAAATTTAAACATAACAATTGGTCTTATATGTTCCCCAATTGGTTAGAAAAACAGGCATTGTGAATACCAGATTGGAATAATTTTCTAATTGAATTTTGCAAATCAAAGCAAGTAAATAATTGACACTGAGAGAGGCATGGCAGAACTCCTACAGCATCTTAATTCACAGCAAGGTTCACTTGCTTAAGGTTATTGATGCTTCCCATGGAAATCTTTTCAACTTAACAGTATGAAAACACTACAAAGACTGCCTTCTGCAGTCCTTGCTTTTAAGGTATAATACTTTTAAGGCTTATAAATAGCCACATGCATAGTTAGTTGCAGCATAGAAGGATCACAAATGAGCCTTTTCTGGCAGAAAAGCTCTACAAAGAGGCTTTTTCTTTTCTTTCTTCTTCAAGACATAATTGACTGCATTAAGTGCAATGCAGGCAGGCAGGCAGCCAGTCAAACAATGTGCAAGCGAAAAATGAGATCTGCACCAAAGCATTGCAGTACAGATGGCTGTTCAGGGTTCAAACCAAGCAGTCATGACTTTCTCCAAAATACGCCATTCCATCCACCTTCCCTCTGGCCATTTTCCACCCCACCAGCCATGGACCATACTTAGTACTCATTGTGCAGTTGCAGACAAGGAGAGGGAAATCCTTGGTAATTTCCCAAAGAGTTTTTGTACTTCTGTATCAAACCTGCACCTACCTTTCTCTTGGCAGTACATTGTGTTGTTTGGCTACATAAGTATCTATACACATAGAGCCAGTAGAAGTAGAAGAAAAGTCTCTTCCAAGAAGATGCCAGCTGAAACATGACCTTCCATTCTCTAAGAATAGCTGTCATATGCAAGTCAACATATATCTAACCATTTGAACTCATATAATTAACTTAAGCACAATCCTGTGAATCTATGTTTGCAATCAGTTTGCCAAGTGAGGGCCAAGCACAGGAAGCCCAAAGAACAGAAAAGGGCCAGATCCCAAAGAGATTATCACAGTCCTGGTAGTGGCAAAGGACAACAGTGCCCTGCTCATGGAAAAGTGCCAGTGCTGCGTCCCTGTGAGCCTTGACTATTGTAATCGTGTCGGATACTATTGCCACTCATTTTCAGAAACTTGCATTAGGTTCTTTTCTTCAGTGCTAAGCTTTGAACTCAAAATACATTTCAGGGCTAGTGCAAGACATTTTACTATCCAAGGTAGAACAGCAAATATTCTTCCATCAACTGAAGTTAATGAAGCTTCTTCAAAGCCAGTCAAGTTTTGCTGGTATATGTATGAAACCAAAAATCCTACAAGCACTTCCCACCATCCCAGCAGAGAAAAAATACAGTCCCAGTGAATTACAGTCCCCCATTTGCCACCATTTCATGATCTGCATATCTGCTACCAGGGGCCACTGACTGGTTTCAAGCAACCTGGGCTCAGTGTGGGTTGAGGGTCAGTTGTTGCTGAATCCAACTGCTCTCACAAGCCATGGCTTGGTGACCATGAACAACCCTTGTTAAGAACCCAGAGTTTATTGCTTGGTTGTGAACTGTGGGTTGTTTTTCATGGTTTGATATCCTAGCAGGTTTCAAAGAGCACCATAACTCCTGTTCCTGCAACAACAACCTACACTCAACCTTGAATCCAGGTACTGTTTCTCAGCTCAAGTGTTTTGATAACATGTTTCCCTAGGCTTTCTGGGAGGCTGGAATAAAGATGAGGAGGACAGGAATTGGACTGCATGTGCTCACCCCTTCCCAGTGTTTCCTTGTGCAGTGGGTCCCACTCCTTCATTCCCCCACCATCAATGACAACTCACACTCAGCCCATAGGGAACCCCTGAGTGTGAGTTACTGCGTTGCCTGAACCCAGCCACTCTGATCCCAGCTTGACTGGCAGTGATAGCTCTATGCACTTCTACATTCATGTGTTCACTAACATTAACCCTTCTATCCAATTTTAAGTTTGGTTAAAAGCGTTCTCATCTCCATCAAGATTCCCATATTTCCTTGGGATTCTATAATTTTCATCAGATCCCAAGGACTGTATCCAAGGGGATAGGCCATACAAGCCAAGACACCCTATTTTTACCTGTCCTTCACTGACTACAGCCTTCTGGGACATATCTCATGTTGTTCCAGAGGGTCTCCCACAACCACCAAGAACTGGCTTTAGCTATTGGCTTGCAGCAATTTTAGGGTGAACTCGCCTCGATCAGGGTTTCCCACAAGCAGAGGTGCTGTCTGCTAGCCCCAAGAAGCCACAGAATAGGATTTCAAATAATCTGTCAGAATTATCTATACCGCAGTTGCAAGCTGGTTTGAAAAAGCTCTGTTGAAACCTGTCAAATATTCTGAAAAGTTAGGAATGATCCCAAAATCAGAAAGTGTTTGTATCTACCAGGTTTATTAGCTAAATAAAATATTAATGTTCCAAATTTTAACTGTTGCGCTTGTTTGGAAGGCAGGGCTTTGGTATATCTTTATAAACCAGTGAATATAAGAGAAGGAACTGTTTATATAGAACTTACCACTGCGTACTGAAGAAAACAACACAATGAAATAAGGTATTTGTGAAATCCAAGCCATCCTAAAAATAAATGCAATAAAATGCTTTAATGCCCATTTTGAAAGTGTGCTGTAATTAATCTAGGCTTCAGCAGAATTTCTTTAGAGATTTTCACTATCACAGAGCAACCCAGTTATGAATAACACTGGTCAGTAATGTAAAGTGTAGCATTTGGTTATACAACAATAAACCAGTTTTGTTCACATCTCTACTTTATAAATCTGCTTAGAATTACTGCTAAATCGGAGCTTTAGTTTAACATACCCAACACAATCTTTTTATGCTAAACCAAGCATTGTCATTTCATGACATCCAAACCCGCTGTTTGAGACAGCTGCCTAATGATAGGTCAGCCCTGGATCAATTGTTTTAGTTATTAATCCATCTATTATTTTTTCACTTAGTTAAAAACAGTAGTTCAAAAGCACAGAATATTCTTTTCCTGTTATATGGGATGCACATGCGTTATAGCAAGCTTAGAAAGACCATTCCCTCTGAGAGTGAAGGGGAATGTCTCCTTTACTTCTTTTTATTAAGTTCTGTTCTCTAAATACTCAGAGGCAGCATTTTAATTAATTGAGAAGATTTCTATTAACTGTCTTATTAATTCATTCAATCCTACAGTCCTATTAATAAATTAAAGTACAGCAGTTAACCCTAATCGTTACTGATTTCTTATATTAGATCTCTGGCGGGAAGCAATTTAAAAGTAAGCCACACTGAGAAATTGGATTTCTCTCTTATTAAAAACCAAATGTATCTACTGGATAAATGAAGTTCATTACCTGGAAACCACTGCTGTGATCGTTGTAACTTTGCTGTCTGTAGAGATACAGGATGCTAAAAACAGGGAAAGGAGTACTAACAAGAACGGGGGGAAACGGTTTATTCCAGTTTTGTGAAGTAAGGCAGGCCACTGCGCTAATGTTTATTCACCAGGGATATTTACTTTCAAGGAAAACTCACACTGTAAACATTGTTTCTGCCTCTGGGAAAAAGAGGTGCTATTGGCTGAAACCTTTGAGCTCCACAGACAAAGAGAATTGCCTATTAAAGAAATCAAAGAGGACTCTTCTCTTTAGTGTTATAGAAAGTCCTCTGCTGCTTATTGTGGCAACTGCAAGACATGGGCAAAGGACACCTCATGGTGTTATGCGGCCAACCCTCACTTTCCTACCTAATAGCAAACCACATGCATGCACGCTTGCACACACACTCACACCGAAAGAGCCCAGTTCTTTTTGCGGTTTGGTTAACAGTTCTCAAAATCTATTTAAATCTGCTTAGGACCATCCGGTGTGATGTCCTGTTTTGGAGCTATCTAAATAAGTGGAATTCGACAACGGGAGTTGCCCCGACTCACATTAGCCCTGGCAGAAACATGTGTCAGTAACTAGACCCAACCTTCAACGCCCAAGGGCAACATGAGGAAGGCAGAGGTGGTTCTTGTGCTCCCTCCCCTACCAGATGCGTCATGAAACAGCCTCTCCACTCCAGCCAACTGTTCTCTGAGTGGAAGTAAACTTTTGTGGTCACTTTCTCTTTAGGTAGGTTTGTGAGGGCCCAGTCTCAAAAGCAGATCCTTCCAACCATCCAGTGCAGGATAAGAGAAGTGGCAAAAATAATTTCCACCTCCCAGTCCTCCTGCCCTGCATTTTTACTGGCAGATTATTTTGCCCATCTGGTGATGGCACATTAGAGAATGAGAGAAGACTGCGACAGCTTGTTTCCTGGTCTTCCTGGATCCTTCCTTCTCACCTCTGTGAGGGTGATTTTCCATCCTTGGAGAGGCATCAGGAGCAATTGTCTCCATACCCGCTGTGAGAGGACAGGGCAGGGGTCAGACCTCTGACTCCTTCTGAAAGCATTCTCTGACTTTAGAGGGAGGAATCTCCAGGAACCTACGGTCCCTCAGTGCCTAGGAGGCCAAGGATGGAACCCTAAAATGACTTTAGGTATAGAATTTCACCTTCCCTAGCCTTCATTCTTGTGTGTCATGTCTTAAAATTAGATTTCAAGTCTGAGATCAGGGACATCATGCTATTGATCTTTGTAAGCCTCTGAGGCTTAAGGAACTGGTGTTTAGAGTGTTTGAACGGAAAGAACTTCCCTATATCCTTCCCTTTTAGCATAAAGGACAGAAAACAGACCTTATCAAATGGAAATAAAACTAGGACACTCTGCCCTGCTATTTACCTCCCAAATGTTACTGTCATAATCCACATTTCTCTTTCTGTTGTCCTTAAAAGACCAGGTTATAAAGCCAGAAAATCTCTGTATCTGGCTTTAATTCCAAATATCCATGTATTTCTCCACATTTAACCAAGCAAGGATGCATACATATTGCAAGGCCAGATTGATACCTCATGCTCTGAGTTCACACTATGGTGTTTCAACATGCTGAGTGCAACCTGCAATCTAGCTGTGCTCTGCTAAGAACACAAGCAGGCTGCAAAAAAGCCCAGCACAAAGGACCCCAGTGGGATCCTTGGCCAAGGAACTGAGCATACTGTGCAATGGAGGAGACTGGCTCTGCTTTACTCTAGCGGGCACTAGAGTTGGGCACTAGAATTGGGATGAGCCCTTTTGGAATCCATCCCTCCAGAATCTATGGATTTTTCTCCTGCTCAGCCCAGTCCTGCAAAGTGAGTCAAGCCAAGAGGAAGACCCCGGTGACCCCCAAGTCATGCAACCAGCGCCGTTCCCCAGTTGCCTTTCTTGGTGGCCAACCTCCCCTGCTCACTGCAGCAGGTGCCACATCATGGAGGAAACCTGGCAACGAGCACATGCACTGACTGCCTTTCTAGTGGCCAAACTTCTTCCCTGCTCGCTGCTGGTGGTAGTAGATGTGGGCATGGAAGAACGATGCTGCTTGCACAGCACATGGGACTTGATTCTTGGCGAGTACCCAGCAAACCATGGGCACACTTGTCAAGAACTCGGACTCTGGGCAAAGTGAACCAGAGTCTGGAAAGCCAATCCCACGGAATCTGGCATTTTTTCCACCTAAAACATTCCTCATGCATCCCCTGTGGGCACTGCTGACCTTGCATCCTGAGATAGGGTTGCCTGCAGGTACTAGATGAACACAGAAGGTAGAAGATGACCTGATGAGAGGTTCAGTTTCAACACAGGATTACCAATTTGGCTTCCAGGAAACTCTATTGTCAGGGAGAAGATCTGGGGTTGTATCTTATGCTAGTCCTACTTAGAACAGGCTCACTGAAATGAACAGGACCTCACTGGATACAACCCTATGCAAGCATTCAGCCTGCATATATGAGAGATGTAAGAGTGTACATGCAAGTTCCACAGGCAGTATTTCTGTATTTGCTCTCTCAGTCCCTGACTTTCCTACATTAAGAAGGAAAATCTGCAGAGGCTTCCTACTTATGTTGACTCAAGTGTGAATAGAAGCCTTAGTATAAACAGACACCCTGCTTTCTACGCAACACAAGGTTAGGAGCTGAACAGGCATGGATACTGGGGAAGAAGCTTGCACGCACCCTCTCACTCCTAACACCCTTTTAGCCCTCATGTGAACATCCACATAGGGCTTCTGTCCAAGCAAAAATACCAAAAAGTATAATTTTGCTAAGATTCAGTATCTTTCCCACTATGTGTTTTCTTGGGTTCAGTGGATTAGATTCCATTGCTATGTCAGATTATCTTGCCAAGTTTTCAGGGCTGTGTGCCAAATTTCACCAAGAGGACCATGGATATATCCCAGGACCATGGCAAAGGTGTTCTCCAGTCTAAATTAATGGGGGCAGGAGAAGAAATGTGCATGTTTCTGTCACTGCCCGGCTGCCAAAGCAGGACTCCCGTGCCCTGCCCTTTTCATGTTCTATCTGACTAGAAAGCACGAGCCCAATTTCACACACAATTTTCAGAGCTTTTAATTATATTTATACATAATTACACTATTTAAAATCTGCTCCATTCCTTATAAGTATCATGTTGGTTTAAACATAATAATACATACCAAATTTAGATATAGTATAATAAGAAGTATCAACCATCCATTTAGATTTAATAATACAAACTGAGGATGCTAAAGCCAGTTTGAACATTCCAGCCCCTGAACTTGGCTTTTCTGTTGCTTTTTCGTTTTTGGTTAAGACAACTTTGGTGCTGGCTGGTTGTGCATGTGTTTTAACAGTCTGTGTAAGCAATCTGAAGACTCCTACTATGAAAATTCAGAATCTTTACTGGACATGATCCAAGTGCACTGGGATATAGACTCTTCCTGTGGTTTCTTATTTTAAGAGCCAGCAGGTGATCTTCTTTTCACCTGAATCCAGATGCCTCTTTTTGGACGAAGAATCAGTTCTCCGACAGGGCAGAGTTCTGTGCACCTCTGCTTAGTTTGAACTGAAAAGTGCCGCAGGATGGTAGCTAGAACTGCCTTTTCTTCTATCTGTGCAAATCGCTGACCTGAATTGCAAGAAGGGTTGTTGCAGTTAACTACAGCAATAATCAGTATTTATTATTCAACAAGAACGACATGCACTGGCTGATCAGAAGCCCACACAGGATAGAGAGAAAGAGAAAGAAGGGTTATCTGTGCTGCAGAAGGAATCATCTTTAAACTGGAAGTCCCACCTTGTTTTGGTTTTCCTGATGCACAATGATTCCTTCCTGCTCCATAAACACTGTCTTTAATTATTGCATAAGCTTTTTGTTCTTCACCATGGCCTGGATTAGATGTAACAGGAAAGTATGGTCACTGCTGATGTGAATAAGCCTGCACAAGTGTCAAGTTCACTTGCTCACCTCACTCATCATCTGTAGGGACTAGGTTAGCTTCCCCCAAAATACAGCCTTCCAAGGTTGTGGACTCCAAATCAGAACTGGAAGAAGTGGAGACTCAGAATTCTCAACTGAAATACCAAGGCCAGCATGACCCGAGATAAGCCGAGAGGCAGTTGAACTGACAGAGCCAGGCAAGGGCAGATGTAATATGAGCAGTCCCAGTGTCAGATCAAAAGAGCTGACCACTTGAATAGGGTCTGATATCCCTACTGTCTGGCCCAGAAGTTGCAGGAACCACCCTTAAGATGAAATGAATTCTTTTCTATAGGGAATATAGGAGAAAGATTCGATTTGGAACCAACTTTTTAGCATTAAGCTATATTTCCATACTAGCTAGTATTCTGACTTCACTGGTTTCTTGTTTTAATTATTTCTACAATACTCTTCTTTTTTATTAAATGCAGTTTTATTTTTTCTTACATTAAAGCCAGTTTTAATACAATAAAGTCTGCAGAGACAAATCCTGGGTTGTTTTGACTAACTAGTATTTAATCTAATACAATGCCCCAAATTTCAGTTTCATGGGCAACTGTGGTTTCTTTCAAAGTGGAAGTGAATGCTTCTGACCACTTCTTGCATGGATGACAGAAGAGAAGAAAGGAAGGAAGTGAATGTTCACTTGCTAGCTCATTCATTCATCAAGAAAACTTATGTATGAATCCAATCATCATCCCCAAGGCTTTGTCCTCTATAAAACACAACTAGATTACAGTCAATTTATTCAAAAGTCCCCTGACTCATAGTCAGAATGCTAATTCATGGTTTATTTAGTCCACACTTTTTTAATGCATAGTTTGTTGTCCTACCAAAGGTTTTTCTGGCAAAAGAGCAAACAAAAATATGTTGTTTTCTCGGTCCTTGCATTGTTTGTTTCCCTGCTCTTTCACCTGCTCCTTCTTTACATCCCAAATGCCTCTGTGATGTTGTGGAACAGAAATATAGAATGGCAGGGATTTTATAGTATTCTTACAATTGTCTCTAGCCTGGTGAAACAAGCCATGAACAACCATGTTTCTACATTCAAACTCAACTGGTCATGGTTTGAACAATTCCGAGTTTACAATACAACATCAAGCCATGTGTTCTGAGATGTTCATAGATGACAAATCATGGTTTGTTAGTTTGGCTGCATTCACACATCGTGACAACCCAGTATTACCCACATCAAGGGTTAATGTTATGTATAAACCAAGCCATACACTCACTGGCAAATAAGTTTAGCCTTACTCCTAAATTCTTTTCAGGCAGGGGATTCTTTCACCCCTTTCTTTACCACAAGGAAGAAAGATTCTATGATGGTATCCCATGAGCCAGATGCTGTACAAAGGAGGAACTTGTTTTGCTCTCCAGAATAAGACTGAAATGTCAAATATGAATACATTTTTCAGTCTTGCTCTAACTGCTAAAACAAAATTTTATTTTGGAAGATCTTACACAGGAACAGAACACGGGATGCTTTGGCATTCAGAAGGTATATGGGGCTACCCTTGAAGACAGTCCGGATACTTCCATTGGTTCAAAATAGAGCTGCCAGGCTGCTGATGGAGACTGGGCGTTATGTTCACATGACTCCTGTCCTCCATCAGCTTCACTGGCTTCCCATTGAAGTCTGGGCCCAATTTAAGGTGTTGGTGATGACCTACAAAGCCCTAAACGGCTTGGGTCCTGGTTACCTGAAGGAGCACTTACGTCCATATATGCCCGCCTGCCCCCTAAGATCAGCGGGAGAGGCCCTTCTCCGGGAACACTCCGTGAAGGAAATTAGGAGGGTAAGTACTTGGAGGAGGGCTTTCTCTGCGGTGGCGCCCAATCTATGGAATGCGCTCCCCAGAGAGGTCCGCCTGGCACTGTCGTTATTTGTTTTTCGGAGCCAGGCGAAGACCTTTTTATTCAAGCGTCATTTTAACTGTTAATAGTATTTATTTATTTTATTTTTTGGCCAGAGCAACTTATTTTATATTGTTAACTTGTTTTATATTGTTAATTTATTGTATTTTAATTGATTCATTTGTAAGCCGCCCCGAGGCTTCGGCGAATGGGGCGGCATAGAAATTTTCTACATAGATAGATAGATAGATAGATAGATAGATAGATAGATAGATAGATAGATCTTTTACTTTTATACGTACCAATGCAGTTCCTGGGCCCAGCAGAGAAAGGTATGTAGGCATATGGACTCCGCCCAGCTGAATTCTCAGCGAAAAAACGCTCCGGTTTAAATTCTTCAGGTTCTGGGAAGACATCGGGGTCTCTATGCAGTGCATAAGGCACAATGACTACATCGAGCCCTTTAGATATCTTATATCCTCCTGCCAAGAAAGAAGGCACATGCATGAGGGAGATACCTCACAAGGCAAATTCTACAGCAGCAAGCTTAGGTGTGCTCAGGCTACTTACTTATACAGCAGTCGTCACTCAGAGTGCGGGAAAATAAGGGAACAGAAGGGAAAAGGCGAAGAGCTTCTTTAACAACACATTCCAGATACCGCAGTTGCTTCAAATCATCCAGCGTGATGTGATGGTCAGAGTCCCCTGGTTAGATAACAAGAGGCAGTCAGAGAAAGATACACTTCATAACTAATACAACGCTTACCTTGAACTTGAAGGTTCTGATAGATGTTTTAAGGTGACAAAGGTATTTTGGCTCTGGCCCAGTTACTGTTTCGAACAGAAGTCTTTGGTCAATATGTTTTCCCAGGCCAAAGAGCATAAGATTAGCCTGCACTGATGCTGCAAAAACCACTGCAGAAAGAGCTTTGGTGTAGGGAATTGCCAGCTACTAAAGAGAGGCTATTACAGCAAAGGATTCCTGTATCTTCCAAGCACATGAAGGTGGCTTAGTCACCTGTAAGTGGGGAATTGGGTGCAGTCCTTTGACAGTCGCCTCAACTCAGGGAACTGAACTTTGCTGGGCACAGGGCCAGAATGCCTATAGATCACTGATCATATCTGTAACAGAGTCAGCTGCAAGCCTTTGAAGATTATTACATTGCATTGATGATATGCAAAGCCAGTACAAATCTTTCTGTCATAAATATTAAGGACAGTGGGTAATATTCATGAGTACATAAGGATAGACAGCTTCTGGCCCTCAAGATGCTTTGACTTACAGCTGCCATCAGCCTTAGCCAGTGTGGCCAATGAGGAGGGATGATGAGAGCCCTAGGCCAAAACATTTGGACGCCTCAACTTACATGGAAATACAAGAGCATACGAATAGCATTCTGCCCCCAGTTGATACTAACATGTCCAGAAGAAAAAGAAACATACCCAAAACTTCATCCAATTCACTGTGAACTTTTCTTTGGATTTCTGGATGACATGCAAGCAAATAAATTGCCCAGGTCAGGGCAGCAGCAGTAGTATCATGACCCTAGGAGGAGAATTCTGAAAGTCTAGCTTTTAATAATATAAACATTGGAATGCTTAACTCTTCCAGGATCTAAGAACGTATCTTAAACCCTTTGACACCAGCACCAAGTTTTGTTCAAGATAATACCCAATTGGCAGGCACCAGCCTCCTGCACAACACTGCATGTTTCAAATGTTTATACACAAAGTTTTCCATATTTCTGGGTAATGACAAAGCAATGCTCCCAAGTCATATCTGAGGAGGCCTTGAGAAGATAATGATAATGTCAGTAAGCACAAGTCCCAGGTTTTAGAGAACCTGGCAGCATATCACAGTCAGAAGTTGTGATGTGTTGTTTCCTAGTGCCAGTCCTCCTCCTAAAGCAGCATGGCATGCTAACTAGCTGAGAACCCCTTCGCCTTACACTTTCTGGCATTCCATAACTGCTTACAATGCTCTGCTCCTGAACAGAGAGTCTTAATCTACTGGGACCTTGTCTGTAGCTGACAAGTCCCCTTTTGAGAGTTTCTAGATCTTTCTCTTGAGTCAGTGTCATTCCCAAGAGCTGGGAGATGATGCCACCTTCTGCTTGGACTACAAGCTCTCCTGCTATGGTGACAGAATATTGAGAGTGTCTGTGAGGGTCCTGGCTCCTTGGCCAGTTTCCGGCCAGCTCCGGCCTGACTTCTCCAGGGCAGAAGGCCTCCTGAGCCAAAGACTAGCCTTCTCCTGCTGAACCAGAGTCCTGGCCCAGAGGTAAGTCCTCCTCTTTTCAAAAGATGCAAGTCTAGCTTTCATCAAGGAAGACTAGCCTTGCCTGCTGATTTATTTTTGTTCCTTATTGTATCTTGTTCTAAAGGCCTAGACCTGGCAAACATTGATTTGAATGAACTAGAAAGTCCCCATGGATACCCCATCTGGGGTGGATCTGCATAACTAAGGGCCACAAACATGCCACATTCATTGTACTATTTTCATTCTTCTGAATAAAGGGAGGTGGGGAAACACCCAAGGTTTACTTTGCAGTTGTCACTGGAATCTGGAGAATCCCATCTGAGCCAATGGCAGTCAATGAGCTGAAGTCATTTTTTCCACACCCATTTCCCTTCCTAGGTCTACTTTAAACTGTAAATTGAGCGTAGCTGAGCTTCAGGGATTTGGAATATGGTGGATTACGGCTGCAACAGCCTCAGTGCCTCCAATCACCACCAGAGGGCAAAATAACATGGTCTTGCTAAAGTCTATCTTTCACAGTATGCTCTTATGCATGGCCTCTCCCCCACTTAATTCTTGGCACATACTCCCAGAGAAGAGTGTACAGGCTTGTCCTTCAGAAAGACTGTGCACACTCACACAATCCAACACTACGCGTTCCTGTTTCAAATCCACCATTAAAAATAAAAAAATTAAAAGGTGCATGCCAGAAATTCTTTACCTTGCCTCCACTCTTGTAACAAACACTGGAGAACTAGATAGGCCATATAATGGAAGTGAGAATCTCCATCCACAGCAGGACTGGGAGAACCTGTGTCTGCCCAGGGGCCAAATTCCCTTTCATAAAACATTTGGGGGCTACTTTCCAGTGGGAGAAGGCAAAAGCAAAAGGGCAAGGTTGTAAGCAAAAGGTGAAGAGCCAAAAGTAGCAGCATGTTTCATCTTAAAACTCTGTACTGAAAATAGCTATGCCCTAGAGAAGGCATTTCAAACAGTTAGAACAGGAAAACAGATGCATAAAACTGGGAAACTGCTAAATGATGGGTGCAGAGGAAGGGGTAATGGCTACAGAAAAGAGTGTGGTTATCAAATGAACCCCAAAGGGTTGGTTTAGGATCCCAGGAGAATCGCGGGTGGCTGGTGCTTCTGGAGCTTCCCCTCTAGTTTAGGAGCAATTTCAGGTATAGCTCAATACATCGGGTTTTTACACACATTTTGCTCAGCAGTGAATATGTGTTTGACCTTGCAGTCACACTCATTTCTAATAATATACTTAACTCAGAACTGAAAAGCTTTATATTTAAGAGCAATATTGTAGTTCCCACGCTTGGGCCAGAAGAAGAGCAGCATTTTGATGCACCAGGAGGAACAGGAAGCAGTTCTTCCCTATTGATCCTGGACTTACGCATTAGATTTGGCATGAATAAATTTCCTGTGCCCCATTCTCTCAGTCTAATCTAGGTCACCAAAATTACCATTAAGAATGCAGCTAGTGTTATCCTAAGGGAAATAGGACAACATACAAAATCTGTAAGAGTGCATTCCAGATGCAACCCACATCTGCTGTGGTATTAAAGTATTTGTTAAATGTTGTAAAAACTTAAATAATGAGTTAAAGAAAGAATGCAATGAGATAACTAGAATTGTTTCAAGCTCCTTACAGAAATGGTGTGATGCAAATTTAACAAACGTTACAGCCCTAAATGAAATATGCCTGCCTGCATTTTGAGATCCTCTTCAGAGTCCCTTTTCTAGGTTTGTGCCATTTGAGCAGGTGGCTAATGGCAACAGAGCATCTTCAACAGTGGCACTCCAATTTAAGAATGCACTCCTCAGATGCAATAGGCAAGATCTTTTTTGTAATCCTAAAATATATCCTTATAAAAAAACTCTTTTTATCCTTTTAAAATTCTTTTTATTTCTTCAAACTGTATAACTTTTTGAGTAAACATTTCAATGTTTTTCAATGTTGTTCAAAACATTTCAATGTTTTTGTTGTCCTGTTTGATTTGGGGACTGCTTTTACCAAGCTGTCCTTATCAAGTTGCTTATTTTAATGTGACCATTATTTGAGGGGGTGTTTTGTATTTTCTCATGAGCTGCCCTGACCATATTGATTTAAGGACAGGCTAAGGCATCAAACAAATCAATAAATAAATTGATTTTGGGAAGCTACCGATAAACAAGGTATCTTCAAGTGTAAAGGACATTAATAAGAGATACCAAAACAGTGCTTTAGGGGTTTCAATGTCTTTCATGTTACGATCCCCAAAATGACCCCACAGAACCACTATTATGATCCCCATATGGCAAGGGTACGGACCCTCAGGCCCAGGGTACCAAAGCAGGCTGTCCTGGCGTTCCAACCTGGCACCTCCGGTTAGTCCCATACGCTTCCCTTGGCTCTGTTCCCTTTCCCTCCCTGGAAGTGTGTTTCCAAGTTTTTGCACACTTTACCCCTCTTTGAAAGTCTGAGATACCTTTCCAGGGGCTTCACTACCAGCTGTAAGAGCTTGAGTTAAAAAGGCCTTTGGTACCCTGCCCTGTCCACCACTGGAATTAGGCCCTTTAAGAATTTCTGCTTTGGTAGAAAGAAAGTTGGGCCAAGGGTGGGGAGGCTCAGCTAAGCCCACCCAGTGGCTGTACAGTCAGCAGAGAAGAGATTCTGGCCCACGCTACAGTCATTCAGCCATTACATCACAGCATCAATCTGTACCTCAAACATGAACGTATCTACTTCCTCTCGAATGTCCATGTAGCTTAACTTCTTCCCATCTTCATCAGTGGCATTCAGCAGCACATCCAGAAAAGCTCTTCTTTTTTTGCCCCACTCTTGCTCACCACTGCCAACAGATTTGTTCTTATGCTGCTCTTCTTTTTCGAGCTCTTGAACCTTTTCTGCAATCACCTTAGATATTGAAAAACAAAACAAAGTATCATACACCAAGTCGGATCCTCCAGTGTGTGCACAGTGCAGTGCTCTGGAAACTGATTAGCTGTATCTACTTATCTACTTAACAAGGGACTTGTGCTGTATGCATTGCAAACAAAGCACAGATCTATTAGCGCTCGCACAAAAGGTGTCTCTGCCCTGCAGTCCTGCATACCCGGGCAACTTAGATCTATGCAAATGCACTTAGGTTCAATACCAGGCTGTAGCTCATTTAATTTCTCCATGAAAAGTGTCAGGAAAATCATGCACCATGTGAAAGTAGCTATCCAATAGGATAAATCTAGCAAGGCCTCTTTGCGCGCTGCACTGAAGAATGAAGTGACAAGCCCTTATGGAAGCAGCTACTTGAAGCTAGCTGAGCCTGATTTCTCTGATGGGCTCAAAGGAGGCCATCAGCAGGAAATCAGTTTTGAGAAGCCAGACAGGTAATTTAGGAACTGACATATAAGTAGTTGATCATAAGAAGGAAAAGAGTTTTCTGGAACTAGTAAACCTTGAATGCATTCCAGCTTTTCAGTATAGACAATTCTGGTGGTAGCATTAACGAATCAGAGCCACTGAGGCCTGAGGTCAAATTCCGACTCAGCCGTAGGGTGTGCTACATAACCTGAAGGCTGAGGGTTCTTTTTTCTCAACATAACCTAACTTGCAGGCATACAGTGAGGACAAAATGGGAAACCCCCACAGATGCCATCTTCACGATGAGATCCTAATGTGGCTGATGAAGAGATGGAATCACATCACAGGTCATGAGGCCTGGGAAAACCGTGGTTGAATCTTGGTGGAAACAATCTGGCATTTTTGTCCCTGCACCATTATGGAAAATGCTGCCATTTACGCGATCCGTGAAGTTGTGAAGTATCTTCAGATTCCTGGAATGTTCTCTTCCTTCTGAGAAGAAAAGGTAAAGGAACTCAGGCCAAAGCCATGGGGTCTTCTGTCTGTGATGAATCAAGTCGCCCATCCTGGGACAACAAAAAACAGTGCTCTTCATCCTTCAGTTAAAGTCTTGAACATTACAAATAGCCTGAATTTCTTGCTGCTGGGCTGAACAAAATGCAGCATCGTGTAAAAGGAAAGATGTTTAAAAAACAGTTTACACATCGTGAAATATGCCGCACAGCTGGACTGGTACTGAACTGGCATGCTGGAAGAGCAGTGAAAACCCCTCTCTCCACACAGCCAGGTTTCCCCATATGCATTGGACTACAAATCCCATCATCCCCCAGTCAGTTCAACACACCAGGTAACAGAAGGCTGCACTATGAAGATAGCCTTCACTGTGGAGTGGCTTCTGCATAAACACCAAAAGAATGTAGGGTTGTGCCCAGTTTTAGTCCTACTATAAGTTAGGTTAATGCCGGATACAACCCCTGGAAATCCTTTCTCATGCATTCTGCCTCCAAGCATAGGGAGCAGGGGTGTGACCCCATATCAACCGGCTGCCTGTGTGAGTTTGGCACGCAGACAACCAAGTTCATTCTGAAGGTCAACTGAGCAGAAAATGAAGGGCTTTTTCACCAAACAACCATCTAGTAGACGGCATCGCTGATCAAACCTCTACTGCGGCATGAGATAGCCCAGGCTCAGGACCCACATCTGGTCCCGCTGGGGTCCCCAAAGGGACACTTCCCCTTCCCAAGGTCTCTCCCCTTCAAGCCAATCATGAGTCTGTGATTTCCTAGCTTTTGTGCAGTTTTCCCTCAATCAAAAGATAGAAATACTTCTCCCAAGTCTTATATATTGGTAGTAAAAGATTCACAATTGGTGGGGGGGGCACTTCTTTTGCCTTTAGCCCCACCCACCAGCAGAATGTAGCCCCCAAGAACTTCTCTTAAACTGACTTTGTCCCTTGAGTGGAAAGAGGTTCCTCACCCCAGCTCTCCCCTTATACATACCTACAGACAGTCCGGACATACTCTGAATCCTTATTGTTTTGCGCCCCTATGCTCTTGCCCATTGCTGTCTCTAAAAACCGAAGAGAGAGAGAAGTCGGTACAAGATGCCTTCACCTATGAAGTGACAATGGGCTATACAGTGGAAGGCAAGGAGCTGCCATAGACTGAGTGGTCCATCTAGTTCAGTATTGTTGACACGGACTGGCAGCTGCTTTCCAAGGTTTTAGACAGGGTTCTTTTGGAGCCCTGCCTGGAGATGCCAGGGACTGAACCTGGATCTTCGGCAGGGAGACCAGGTGCTGATCTGCATTGCCAGTATGTTATGAAGTACTCCTGTAACTCATCACTGTGGCCATTAGCCCTGTGCAGGTGTTCTGATGGCAAAGGATTTCCTATTACAAGGAGGACAGCAACCTTGTTCAATCAACCTATCATCCCCTTTTGGACCTTCCAGCTTAACTCAGGAAGAATAGACTAAGGAAGCAAAGGGAATGTACATGGGCACAAGACATTCCACTCAGAGAGTTTCTGAATGCCTGAGTAGGGCTAATCTCTTCCAGTCCTCCCACCGCCCCTTTCCCCGAGTTCGTGCATTAATGCTTCCCTGGATGCACCAGATTCCTTTCTCTGTCGAGATTTTAAGTCCCCATTCTTGGCCATGCATGAATGAATCAGCATTTACAGAATACCAAGTCATGACAATGAGTTTAGGAAGGAACGCACCCCAGGTAGATTACACGCGGCTCTCTTTTACCAGAGAAACCATTTATTTGATCATTTGTCAAAATCAGCTTCATTTTTGCAGAGAGGGAATTCTTGGGCTCCAGGTCCTGCAGCAACCCATGAGTGACCACCAGGACTCACCACAGATTATATCAAGCGCACAGAGTGCGATATACGGAAAGCAATCAAATGGCTCTTTGTCCACGTGCTCGTCAAGTTTCTGAACAAGGATATTAGCTTGCTTGTTCATCACCTCAAGAAAATCAGCCAAGATGGTGAAGTGAAAGGTTGGAGTTAATATTTTCCTTCTGGACCGCCATTTGTTTCCAGTGCTGTAAAACAAACCATTTAAGAAACAAAGCCCCTCACAACTAAATTCTGCGCAAACTGTGTTTTGCACAGGGTGAAGGATGCAGTGTTATCAGGGTGGATAACAGATTGATTTAAATCATGATTTAATTCAGTAATAAGACTAGATTTAAATCATGGTTTTCCACATGCCTGCCTTACCCACTGGTACAGGAACATTATTAACATATTCCCAAACTGGGTCTCTTTTACATCCTGCTGCCATTATAGGTTTTATCCTCCAGGGAAAGAATAATATGATAAACCTTAGGCTATAAGCAAAAAGATCCAAAGGTTTATGGAATATGGAATATCAGAATTTTCATTTTCACTGCTGCCGCCCCCCACTTAGATTCTTATGCAGATCTATTCCACTCCCAACAAGCATTTTCTATTCATTGAATTTTTGGAAACTTAGCACTTAAGAGGTGAGGGATTGAGTCTGTGTAAACGGACTTGCAAAGGAACAATGGGATTAAGGTCTTTTTCTCAACTCTGTGTTTATTTTATAACATGTTTGCTCTGAAGAAAAGGCATGCGATCTCTGCAGACACAAATTCACAGTTTTGAGAACTGTAAAACCAAGCATCTGTGCTAATTATCTTCTAGACAGAAAAACTGCCCAATTATCTTACAGAAACCTCTGGAAGAGCAGGACATTGTGAATGGATTAATGGAATTCATTTACCCTAAAAAAATTTAAACATTGCATGAATATTAAGCCACATGCTACATAATTAAAAAACTCTTCCTTATTTCATGATGAATAACCCTTGGACTATAGTGTATCTTAAATAGATTTTTCCTCAAAAAGCATTTTTATTTTTTAAATCCAATTTAAATTTAAAAATCCATTTTTTCAAATCACTGATTTTTATCCACCCAGAATAATATGCACGCTTAGACAGAAAATACTTTCAGCCCCACCCAGCCAACAAAGCAGGGTAGGGAACATTGGGAGTGGAGGACTTTTCTGTCTAAACAGTCCTAGGATGGCAGCCTAAGGGCAAAGTACTATGTTGTGTCCTCAAGGATGCTAAACTGCAGAACTCAGAGGCTTACAGTCATCACGGGGCAGAAGGAGAGGTAGAGATTATGTTCAACTCCCCACTGTGCTGCCTTACACTTTTCATTAGATGGGCATCTAGCTGACAGGCTTTGGAGCAGGATGGAAGGCTTCAGTAAAGCTCATAGCCTAGCTTCTCCAGTCTCCTTGCCTCCCTGCCCCCCAAAACATCCCTTTCCCCACTTCTCCAAGGTCACTGTCCTGAGCTACAAAAGCAGCTGGAGCCCCTTTTTCTGTGCTGGCTGCAAGGGGAGTGTGATTGGATTTCCAGTACCCTGCCACATCTGACCTCAGATCTGGGAATCTGAACTATGCTATGGTCCTTCAGATGCTGCCAAGGTACCACAAGATTGTTCCCTAAATGTCTTTAATAACGTTCATTATTGCACAAACAGTTCTCAAAACTCCCTCTTCCTGCTCTTCTCCTCCAGAATAGCCAACAGGAGGAGTATGGCAGCTCACCCTTTTCATTTGGCTAATCCAACTTGTTCTGTTGTCCCAACTCAACCTACAGTGGTTAATCTTAACTATGGTTACAAGCAATCCCCGGCTTAAAAAGATAGTTTGTTTCAACAAGCTATATTTAAAATTAACCACAATTGACCATCAAGACTACAGATTAAACTGGCTCTCCCTAATCTAGCGCTCTTGAATGTGTTGAATTGCAACTCCCGTAATTCCCAGCTAGTAACTCCCACAATTCTTTGATCTATCTTCAGTATTTAGTTAGATTATAAATAAATTATTACATACAGACATATTATAATATTATTTCAGTGAAGATAGTTTAGGCATCTTGATTTTCAGTGTTAAAAGAAACAGGATATTAAAAAGATGAAGAAGGTAGAGTTTGAGAGGCTCTCATGAGCCTCAACCTGTTTCCACCACCCCAGCATCACACACTGCCCTGGAAGTGCTATTATTTTGAATGCCTGATGTTTTCCAAAGCCTTCCAGCACAGGCAGAGTATGATTACCATGTGAAACATGAGTTCTTGCTATGCTGGCTAGGGGTTTATGGGAGTAATAACCCAAAAGATAAACAACTGGCTCAAGACCATCAAGGCAATTAGTGATCTAATTAGTGCTCTGTATGCATAATTACTAAGAAGCCCATTTCTCCCTTCAGTAGGATGGAGGAAGTTGGGAGCGTGCCAGTGGCAAGCCAACCTCAGGGGTGTAGCAATGGGCCCAATCCCACTTTGCAGTGATATGTGCAGAGCAAGTGTGAACAGGACTAATGGCTCAACCAGCTCTTCACAGGCCAACTCTGTTTTCCCAGCCTGATGCTTCCTTGATATTCTGGGCTCAAATCCCAGCAAGCCCAACTCACATGGCTAATGCTCAGGAATGCAGGGAGTTGTAGTCCAAAGCACTGGGAGGACAACAGGGTGAGGAAGGCAGAGGTGGACTCCGTTCCAATGGGCATGGGAAAAATACAATCTACACAAACACACCCTAGGTCCATTTTACTTTACCTTGTTAGAAGTCCTGTGCCAAGCCAGGGATGAAGGAACTTGTATAGATAGGGTTTGTCTATACTCTTTGAGCTACTCAAAATGACCTGCCAAGAGATGAGACCAAAATGAAAGATTTCTGTGTTTATCTGTTACATTTTGCCTTAAAGGCCAACTATCTGAATAAATTTTGCCCAAGTTCAAAGTGATGAATAAGCAGCCTTGACAATTAATACTCAAAGTGGTACTTGTGACATTGAGCAGCATCTTTAACTTAGTCTTTTTTTTACAATCTGCACAAGGTAAACCAAACATAAAAGAAATTATGTGCTCAGTATAAATTGTGCAAAACAATTTATTTTGCATACTGTATTCTGGGGTGGATTTATTTTTTACTAGCGTACTTAAGTTACAAGCTAGTATAAATGGGGATTGCAAAAAACCTTAAACACTGTGCTGAAGCCCTGCCTCCTTGCTGGGAGAACTGTTATCCTGAAAAGTCTGTCCGCAGGATCCAATCGTGCAACTAGCTGAAGACATGGGAGCAGGATCATGCCCTCTATCCCACCTCCAAATCTCCACACATTGATCCGAAACTCTGACTGGAACCCTTTGCACCTAACAGGGTCTCTGTGCACAGCTGGTGCTTTGCTGCTGCTTCCTCTTTACTGCTAAGTTTGTTCTGGGGCCAGAAAAGGTTTCAGGGAGAACAGGCTGCTGGGAAAGAGGAAGAGTCCCATCAGGGCTTTGAGAAAACAGCAGCACTTCAGTTGCTTCCTTCCTCCCACCCTCTCTCGCAAATGCAGTGCTGCTTCCCCATCTCCTCCCCTGCCCTTTGAACAATATAAATTTTGCAAACCCTTTTGAAGTTTTCCTTATGGTCTCCTCCACCCTCTTGCCTCAAAGAACAACTAGCTGCAATGCATGTCTCAGAAGTGAATCACATTATCTTCAATGGCCTTAAACAAAGTCAAACCACAAGAGACCAAGTGGGAAAGTCAGAATGGGAGAGCAGCTACACCGCTTGCTTGGGCGAGGGAGGTGGGGTTGATCCTACTGGCTTCACCACAAGGGGCAGAAGACTAGCAATTTCCGTGATTTTTTGCAAGGAGGCAAGAGGAGCTCCGTTTTTTAATGTATCCTCGCTTTCACATAGCCAACTGAGGTTAAAAAACAAACAACCACAAAAGCGAATGAACCTTAAAGGGCCATTTCCTCACACAGAACCCTTTCCAACTTGTCTGACTTCTCCGGCAATTGCATTTGAGTACGGCACACAATGATGTTTTCAACACCAAGCTGCTTTCACCAGCATGTGCCCCAACTGTGGTAGCTGCTTTTTGCATAAATACCATGAGTGTGCTCCCTCGTAAACCGAAGGGGTACTCCCAAGCTCCCTCCCAAGTGTTCCTTACAGAAGGTGTGGAGGGAGCAGAGGCATATTATGGGATGGGGGAACAATACAACTGCACTGCATGATTTAGATCTTGTGTCCTGCATAGGAAACAACTGCCCTCTCCCTGTTCAATTTGGCAGATGCCCATCATTTTGCTTCTTTCGGCTGGATGCAGTACTTTGCAAGAGATGTATGCGTCAAATTCTTGCAAATAAGTGTACCCTACTTTTAAAAAATCGGGCAGATATCAATGATCTCAATAACATTTGTTAAATGAAAAGAAACAACACTCAACAACACACAGAGGACAAGCAATGCTTAAGTGAGGCTTTGAAGGTGGTGGATCATTAACACAACCCTCATACTGATCATGCAAAATAAAGGTCAAGGTTTTTGGCAGTCCAAAATTGGACAAATATTTTTTTACCTTCTCATCTTTACCTAACCACTCTGCTCATGTTAGTAACATGACGACTTTCAAAGGATTTACTTCCAGCTAGGTATGCATAGGACACATGAACTGAAGAATAAGCACAATGATTTCTGAGTAAACTTGCATAAGAGTATACTTTTTGGACCTAATGCCACTTGTATTTGAGAGAAGATGAACTTTACTAAGATATACAGAGTGAGATATATTTACTCCATCCTCCACCATAAGTTTAATAAGATCTACAGAGCATCATCCATTGCCATGTTTATCTCCATGCAGTACCTTGAATCAGATGCCTCTCAACTCCCTTCCCTGCCCTCCAATATCAGAGTTAGCATACAGCCCTAAGGACTAGTAGCCATTGATAGCCTTCTCCTCCATGAATTGGTGTAGGTTAGCAGTGGGTAGAAGGTACAACTCCAGATGTTGTGGACTGTATCTCAGCAGCTGAAGTCCTGAAGACATATCCTCTGGAGATACGTCTTCTGCCCATCCGTGTCTTAGATCACCAAACAGAGGAGAGCAGGGGAAACAAGTGTGTTGAAAAGAATCTTCTGATCTAAGCTACTAAAAATACCAGTTGTGAGGGAACTTGGAAAGGAGAGACCACCTGCTTGTGGACTTCCTGTGAGCAGCTGGTTTGCCACTGTGTGAACAAAATGCCGAATGAGATAGATCCTTGTACTGATCCCATGGTTCTTATGCTCTTAATCTATGCATGTGCCAAAGTTCTTCCACAGTGCAATGATAACCAAGATGAACTTAAAACAGTCCTACAAAACCTGGAAAACAGCCCAAGAGCCAAGGTACTCCTTCCAAAGGCTTAGTTGCCTGCCTAAACTGTCAGAGGAGGAAGAGGAGGTTGTGAAGCACCTGGAGCACCACAGTACATTGCTGTTGGGTTAAGCTCGGCTTTGTGTGTCAGATCTTATTTAGCTCATTTAGTTTTGTAGATTTAAATTGTCTTCATGGTTCGAAAGACCAACTGTCTGAACTCTCAGTTCATTTTTAAAAATATGACATTATTTATCAAACAGTTTGGAAGTCATTCTGTTCATCTAAATGGGGTGCATGGAAGTGATATTTGCATAAGGTTATAGTAATACAAGAGACTGCTGGTTTGTTAAACAACTACAATGTCCTCATACAAACTTGTGCACAATTCCTAGCAATCTTCAGTACATTCCTTAACAGACTGAGGCCCAACATTTTATAAATCTCACCAGTTGCAATGTAGATGGCTTTGCACATTTTTATTACCATTCTGTACTTTTTTTCAAAACCTAGGTCATAACCTACGTACAGTAAGATAGGATTAATTAGACCCAGCTTATGTTACTTACTTATGTTCTAAATCAACAGACTTAAAATCATCCAGTACATTCAGTAAAGTCTAAGTCAGACAGACTCTCACCTCTACGGTTTCTGCATGATATAAGATCAGAAAAGGAAGGGGTCCTATCCAAAGCTTTACCAGTGGCATATTCCGGAATTCCTCAGAGTAATGCATCAGTTGCTGAAAGAAGCCTGGAAAACATGCATCGTGTCTGAAAATGAGAAATTCAGAGATCCTACATCTACGCTAGCTAAAGTGGCTTGCATTAATTCTTATGAGAAGGCACATAGGGTGACCCCAGGGTGGAGAAGGCTGCTCTGAGCTAAGATCTCTAAGGAACCCAGCAGCCACATAGCGGGAGCAGACATTTGATCATGAGTGCTATCAGCAGATAAGCCCCTATCTCAGCAAAAGGTTTAATTTATGTAACATGTTTAATTATCCCCTGTGAACATCATAAAGACTTGTATCAACCTTCAGGGACAGAGCCAAGGGTCTGCTGACAAAAGCTTCCTGGACTTGTCCTTCCTTCAGTTCACCACCACCCTCCACCCACTGCGACCTCAGCCATGCACAGAGTCGTTGCCTGCACGCTCACTGGCCAAGCAAGCGAAGCGAGAGCAAGCAACGTGGAAATACAGGCCAAAAGAAAAGAGTTAGGGAATATCTAAAAGGAAGAAATACAGAGAAACTTAATACCTTTGGAATGAAATGGGCATGGTATGGAATGGGCCTCCATGGAAGGGGGCTGAAGCCCATCAGTGAGGGTGTTTAAGGATAGGCTGGACTTGCACATGTTAGGCATGTCATGAGCAGAACTGGCTGGAGCTGGGGGTCAGACTAGATGGCCCAGGGGACCCTTCTGACTTGCTCTGTTTTCTCTGTTTCTATGTTTCTACACTTGAAAAGGGATTTTTTTGACTTTAGTAATAAGAATTCAAGGTTGTTGGCCAGGGCCACACAACAAAAAAGAACTAAAAAACTAATTGGAACAGTCAAGGATGAAAGAGGTAAAAATGTAATTTAACAAAAGAAAAATTTGGACTATTTTATTGATTTTATTCTAAGCGATATGCAGCTGGAAAACTCTTGATAGATAAAATCAGGTTATAGATCATAGATCCTCAAACTATGGTTCCAGCCCACCATGCCCATTTATCCACCCCGCCTGAGAGGTTTTGGACTCGCTTGGAGAAAACAATTTCCGAGCAAGTCCAATCCCTCTGAGCTGGTGCAGGCCTTCTCAGAAACTGAGCAGAGAGAGCCAGCGCATGCCCAAATTGCAACAGCTCAACCGCACATGAGCTGGCTCCCCCTCCCCCCATTGCATACATATGCAGACCAGGAATGCGGAGCGGGAAACAGAAGAGAGGCAGGTGGAAGAGAAAGAGAGACGAAGAAGATGAAGAAACTAAAAAAGGATTGAAAGTAAATAAAATAAATCCATTTTTAATTATGTGAGCCCTGGGACAGCCAACCGCCACCTTGCCGAGCTTTGGGGCAGCCAGCCACCCCCCACCCGCCGCCACTGCCTTTCAATGGAAAAAGTTGAAAAAGTTTGAGGACACCTGTTATACATGATTCCATTTATTTGCATTGTAAGTTTTTTCTTTTTAATTTTGGTATTGATGTGTTTTTGTACTGTATTGTATTGAACACTGTGATATTATTTAGCAAAAATTTATAACATTAAAAAACAAACTGGGAGCAATAAGAGACAGGCTCACTGATGGACATTTTGAGGACATCTGCTAAAGGACCTAGAGCTGATATTTTATTTCAGCTCCCACTACCCCAGCCAGCATGGCCTAGGGTCTAGAATGATAGGAGATGTAGTCCAAAAGATCGTGAAGGCTTGAACTTGGGGAAGGTGGATGTATACAATTGTTTGTGGCAGGTACTCCCTACCCTCCTGGCAGGGGTAAGAGTGACATGGAACAAGTCACCTCTCCTTCCACCCAATGCCCCTGAATACTTCGCCCTGCTTTCTGGGCCTGAACAGTTCTGGGGTTATGCTGCAAGAACAAAAAGGCTTTTGCCACTTGTTCCCCAAGAAGTAAAATTAAAAATGCTGGTGAAGCAAAGAAAGCTTCAGGAAAAAACAAACAACCAGGAATGGATTTTTTAGGGGAAAGGTTTAGGTCAAAGCCTATAAGGATTCAAAACTGCATAAAATTTCCATAGATTAATTTTATATGCAATTTAGAAATATTGATCGATTTACATTTCACAGAAGGCAGAACCAGCCAAATAAATTCTCATTCAATTCAAATCAAATGAATCTATTAAGTTGATCCAGACATTCCCAAAGCAGTAGCTTTGGCTGTAGCTAATGGAGAGGAAGGGTTGACCTTTGCTACACTCTTCCTGGAAAATTGTTCCCTGCATGTCAATTAAGGTGAGAAAAAAACTCTTCACTGGTGATACTTGACAATTAGGTCTCCAGAGAACAGGGCAGTTTAGCAACATAGTGTCCCTTTGTATTATCTAATGTAAGTGCCTCACATAGCAAAACAATTCTCAAATATCCCTGTACAAGAGACTATAGTATAAACCTGTTCTTGCACATGGGCAAGGCAATAGCAATAGCGACATGGCTAGAGACAGAGCAAATGAAGTGTCGCTAGAAAACACCCACGGAGCTCATGATTGGCATGTGATATGAATCAGGGACTTGTCCTAGGACTTTCACGACTCAAGCCACAGCACACAGGTGAAAGCAGAAGGAGGCTTCCCTCTCCCTACCTCAGCATTGATTTTCCTGACTAAACCCTTCCCCAAGCCCTGCTATTTGTCCCACAAGACAAAAACATGCAGATTTTTTTCCATGTTGTAGAAATGACAGCTGTGGAACAGGAAGGAGCTTCAATCCACAACGGTGTGGTGGCCAATGGCACAGCAACTGACCCCATCGACACCCCTGCCTGCTGTGTGGAGAAAATGGACAGGGAGGCATTTTTTTTCCTCTCTCCTAAGAATGAAATTCAGTGTCATCCCATGAAGGTGATCAGCGGGAGATTCAGGACAGATGAAGGAAGTTCATCCTCCCATGCTCCTGTCGAGGCTCTGGTCGAACTGTGGAACGGAGAGATGACCAGGGCTGTGGACACGATCGCTCCTAAGCGTCCTCTCCCACCGGGCAGAGTCCGCTCTTCCCCTTGGTATACACCTGAATTACGGGCGATGAAGCGAGTTGGGAGACGGCTAGAGCGTAGGTGGAGGAAATCACGGGATGAATCTGACCGAACACACTTGAGAGCCCACTATCGGGCCTATGCTGTGGCGGTGAAGGCGGCGAAAAAGAAGTTTTTTTCCGCTTCCATTGCCTCCTCACAATGCCGTCCAGCGGAGCTTTTTCGAGTGGTGCAAGGCCTGGTTCGCCTGGGTCCTAAGGAAGATCCGATGCCACCCTCAAAGGCCCGCTGTGACGACTTTGCCAGGCATTTCAGGGAGAAAATCGCTCAGATTCGTCACAAGCTGGACTCCACTAATGAATCAGAGGTCTCTCAGGAGTCGCCAATGCCACCGTCTGGTCCAAAATTATTGGAGGAATTTCAATTATTGCGGCCCGATGATGTGGACAAGGTGCTTGGAAGAGTACGTCCCACCACTTGCCTATTGGATCCTTGCCCATCTTGGTTAATAAATAACTCCAAGCACGGGATTGGGACCTGGATTTTGGAAGTGGTTAACGCTTCTCTGAGGGAGGGTTGAGTGCCTGCCCCTTTAAAGGAGGCGGTAATACAACCGGTCCTGAAGAAAGCGTCACTGGATCCAGAGATGGCCACTAACTATAGACCTGTGGCCAACATCCCGTTTCTGGGCAAGGTGTTGGAGCGAGTGGTGGCGGGACAACTCCAAGCACTCTTGGATGAAACTGATTATCTGGATCCTTTTCAGTCCGGCTTCAGACCCGGGTACAGTACTGAATCTGCCTTGGTCGCCCTGTACGACGACCTGTGCAGGGAGAAGGACAGGGGGAGTACATCCCTGTTGGTTCTTCTGGACCTCTCGGCGGCTTTCGATACCATCGACCATGGTATCCTTCTGGATAGACTTGCGGGATTGGGGGTTGGAGGCACTGCTTTGCAGTGGTTCCGCTCCTATCTCGACGGTCGATTCCAGAAGGTAGTGCTGGGGGACCATGTCTCTACGTCATGGCAGCTATGCCATGGGGTACCACAGGGCTCCATTCTATCCCCTCTGCTATTTAACATCTATATGAAACCGCTGGGAGAGGTCATCAGGAGGTGTGGGCTGCGGAATCATCAATACGCTGATGATACCCAGCTTTACCTCTCGTTCTCCACTAATCCAGGTGAGGCAGTGGCTGTGCTGAACCGGTGCTTGGCCGAGGTAAGGGAATGGATGAGGGCCAATAAACTGAAACTCAACCCAGACAAGACGGAGGTCCTGTTGGTTGGCGGATCGGGTTTCGGAGAGGGTGGATTTGACCTGGTCCTGAATGGTGCAACACTCCCTCTTAGGGATAAGGTCCGCAGCTTAGGAGTACTCCTCGACCCGGAGCTTTCTTTGGAAGCTCAGGTGACAGCGGTGGCGAGGAACGCCTTCCTTCAGCTTCGGCTGATTAATCAGCTGCGCCCCTACCTGGAGTACGACTGCCTGGCGACAGTGACACACGCGCTGGTGACTTCCCGCCTAGACTTCTGTAACGTGCTTTACGTGGGGCTTCCCCTGAAGACAGTCCGAACACTTCAATTGGTGCAAAATAGAGCTGCCAGGTTGCTGACGGGGACGGGGCGTTATGCTCACATGACTCCAGTCCTCCGTCAGCTTCACTGGCTTCCCATTGAAGCCCGGGCCCAATTCAAGGTGTTGATTATGACCTACAAAGCCCTAAACGGCTTGGGTCCTGGCTACCTGAACGAGCGCTTACGTCCGTATATGCCCGACCGCCCTTTGAGATCTGCGGGAGAGTCCCTTCTCCGGGAACCCTCCATGAAAGAAATTAGGAGAGTAAGTACCCGGAGGAGGGCTTTCTCTGCGGTGGCGCCCAACCTATGGAATTCACTCTCCAAAGAGGTCCGCCTGGCACCGTCGTTACTGGTTTTTCGGCGCCAGGTAAAGACATTTTTATTTAAACATCATTTCAATTGTTAAAACATATGATCTGGCCTGGGCAACTTCTTCTTCCTTCTCTTTCTCATCCTATATTTTTATTTTATACTGATAATTTTAATTTTGTATTTGTAAATCAATGTATTTTTTGTATTTTTATATTTAATGGTAATTTATTATGTACTATTGTATTTCAATGTATTTTATCATGTTGTAAGCCGCCCCGAGGTTTCGGCAAGGGGCGGCATAGAAATGTTATAATAATAATAATAATAATAATAATAATAATAATAATAATGTTGCATAATTCAACTACCTAATTTGCTGTCATAAGATTGCCAGCAATCTGGTGGCTTTCCCAAACCTCTCTTTCACTGTTGGACTCTAGTTCCCTAGTGTCAACATCCAGCAGAAGAACAAAGAATTTCAAAGCTACAGAAAATCAAGGCCCGACGGCCATATTAAAAGGGCAGCTACTTTTGCACTAGCAGTTCTAATTCCCCTGTTATTTGTTATATTTATATCCTCTTTTTCCTGCAAGGAACCCAAGGCAGCTTGCATATTTTCTTTCCTTGAGTGGGAACTAGAAACCTGCTCTCCAGGGTCCCGTCCAACATCCTAACCGCCACACTAGACTGGCTCCCAATGCCACCACATGTACATTATTACAGTCTGTGCAAATTAATCTGAACTAATCGCACACCCCATTCCTAAGCACAACTGATGAGCTGTCCATACTTCACCCACAAATATGCACTGCTAGAATGAAGGAAAGCTCTTTCAAAAATGTAGAGGTGTTAACAGAAGTTAAGGTAGAGACTAATCTGCACGTGTGGGGAGGTTTTGGCTGTCAACATGAGCCCAAACACTGGGGGGAGAGTAATCTAATCCAGAACCACACCTCAGCTGTCCTTAAGTGAATGCAAGAGGATCGGGAGCCCATCCTTCCCCAACCCGGTGCTCTCCAGATGTTTTGGAATTCAAGTCCCAGCAGCAGAAGCCAATACAGCCGATGTTCAAGAATGCTGGGAGTCCAAGTTCCAAACCTGAAGGCCAATTCAAGTATCTTCCTTTACTGAAATGGAATAGGAAAATTAAAAAATGGCTAACACATTGTCAGGAAAGAAATGGTACTGAGATCCAGAGAGACTCCCGGGGCAATTCTGCGGACGTAAACAAGCTTCCTTCTGCTTAGTGAGACTGACTCTAAGGGAAGGGGGGATGGGACTGCAGTCACGAAAGCGCTTCCTTGAAAGGCTTTCACTCTGCTGCTTTTGAGAAATGTCGCTAAATTTTATGAATTTGTGCTTGCGAAGCAGCCATTTGCTGTGCAGCAGCGTGATCCAGTAACGGACACGCCGCTCTGAGGACTGCTTGCAAGCGTTTGGAAAGCCTGGAGTTTCCCCTGCTCCCCCTCCCCCCAGTTCATGCAAAGGACCCCACTGGAGGGCGCCGGGGCTTCCGGGAGGGGGGCACGATGCCTTTACCTTCCCCGTCGCTCTCAAAAAGTAGGACGTTGCCCACCAGCGGGTAGCAAGGGCTGATCCCCGGGACGATTTTCATCTCCTTCCATCGCCAAGCGTAGTCCTTCAAGAAGCGAACGAGGCGGGCAACCAGCGGCACGACGAGCAACGCGGCCGCTGCACCGACGACAGCGCCCCACCAGGAGACGGACCCGTCGCCGGACTCGCCGCCGGCCCAGATCTGGAACCCCATCGGCGCCTGTCGGCTGCGGCTGCAGCTGCAGCAACCGAGCGCCGAGTGCGCTTCCCTTGCTTCGCGAAGGCGGTTTGTTTTGCCGCGGAAGCACGTGGTTGGCTGAAGGCGGGGCCCGAGCGCAAAGCGAAGGAAGGTCGTGGCGGAGGAAGGGCCGGCAGCTCACAGTCGAATCCTAGCGGAGCTCCTCGTGAAAAGCTTTGCAGGTCTACTTAGAAATAAGCTCCATTCAGTCCGATGGAACTTACTCCCAGATGAGCGAGTACACGGTGCAGTCCTAGGCAGATCGCCCCAGGAAAAAACCCCACTGAGTTGAATGGGGTTTACTCCTAGGGAAGGATATAGATGTTAAGACAAAAAAAGGGCTGGGAGTCGTCGGACTTTTTTACTTTTGTCCACCAATCCGTTGTCCAAAAGGCCAATTAACAAGCGCGGTTCCAGCGGAAAAGGTCAGGCTGCTTGACCTAACAATTCAGCGCATCAATCCCCATCTTGACAGATGTCCCCATCGATACTTTTCTTTTCTTTTCTTTTCTTTTCTTTTCTTTTCTTTTCTTTTCTTTTCTTTTCTTTTTTGCCTTCTAGGCTCGTGAAGGCGACGTCTTTCACCCCGGTGTGAGTTGTTCTGGATTAGGGAAGAGTTCCTTCCATCAAATACATAAACGAGATGGCAAAGCTGCACTTACTGACCTAAGTTACTGCATCTCTTTGTACTGCTAGATTTAGAGGATTCAGGACCCAGGTGCATAGGATATAAATATGCAAGAATTCTGCATAGATCTAAAACCGTGCACTTAGATCAGTTTATGTACATTCAGAAATAATTATTAGGATAATCTGCCCAACTGCAATCCTCCTTGAGAATTGCTCCCCATAGACAGCCCTTAAACTGAGATCCTGTGGAATGGGGTGAGCTGTGTGATGTGGAGGAATTCCCCAAAATTGGGGGAAGCCATCTTCTGTGGATGGCACCCTTCTGACAACTGAAGGGAGCATCTGGACCCAACTCATTACAGCCATCTACCTCTTCCTGTGTCATCTCCAATGGAGTCTTGGAGGGTGGCAAAAAGGGACAGGGCTTTTCCAGCATCCCACCCCCATTATTCAGCAATCTCCTCACTGAGGAGTAGCAACATGATTATTTTTGCAGCAGCAAAGACCTTTCTGTACCCTCAAGCAGTTAACTAATTTGTGTTGGAATCAAACCTAGAGTGCTGTATTGCAAAGATTTTTTTTTGTCCAATACATGTCTGGGGATAGTAGGGAAATGAATATTTGTATGAATCAAATAATAGTGATATAGGTTGTGCTGTGAAAACTGCGGTTAACCTCAGAGGAAAGTTGGCAGATGAGCTCAGTATTGCAGCAATAAAGTAGCAGCACTGTTTTCCTGCAAGTCCTGAATCCAAATAGAAGAAATGTCATAATGTAACAGTCAGTTCCTGCTGTTTTTTATGCTTGTGGCAAAAGGCATTTCTGTTTAACTTTTGCCCAGTAGACTCAGTGAGGGACTGGATATGGCAAGCAAGGCAGGGTCAACCCAACCATGGTGAAGATCGGTATTCAGACCAAACCCACAACCTCTTAGAAAGGTAGCATTCCCTTGCCTTGAAGGCTATTTATGCGGCACGGGCATGATCTCCAATTCAATACGACTCAAGAATGGTGTGATGCCAGTGGTAGCCAAGAGCACCTTCCCCAGCTTTGCTTGGTGCGCCATTTGCGTCTCTTCTTAGGGAAGCTGAGTCTTGCCACAATGATCCTTGCTTTCCTCACTTCATGTTTAGGCTACTGTTGCATGTTCTCTTGGAGCTGCTCTTGTAAACTGTCTGGGAATTTCAGGTAACCCAAACATACAGCCAAACCTTTCTCAGTTATGCATTGGATAAACAAGCATTAATCCTTAGATAGCTGCACTGCATTCCAGTTTGTTTCTGGTCTCAGCAAAAAATGCCGACTCTTACCTATGAAGACCTAAACAGGTTGAGACCAGGATATCTGAAAGACCACCTCTTCCAGTATAAGCCTGCTTGAAATCTGCATTTACTATCTGAGGCTTTCTTGCATATCCCACCTCCTAGTGAGGTGAACTTGGAAGGTACATAATGCAAGGCCTTGGTGAATTTCCCTCTATGTTTTTTTCTCTTTCATTTCTGAAAGGACAGTTTAAAATATTGTTTAGAGGTCTGCATTATTATGTACTTTTATTTATATTTTATTGTACATTGTTTCAAGAACTCAATCAATGGAAGGTTGAATATATCTTCAGAATATATTAATATTCTGAACAAATATTCTCGTGTCAGGCTGCTGTTAAGGATCTAGTCAAAGAAAAATATGGCAATTATATTGTTTCATTGTTAACAATCTAAAGAAAACTCATCTGTCCAAATAATGTTAAAGTGTTGCTTTAAAAAAAAAAAAAAACCTCTCTAAACACATAAATAATATAAAGCACATATTCACTTAAGCCCAGTTCTACAAGCAAGCTAAGGCCTCGTGAAGGCAAACATAACACTTCAGAATCTGTAATAGATGACTCATAGGCTCTAACCTCAAAATATTGAGCTACCAGCATTGATGTCCAAGTATTTTAAATACAGTGGTACCTTGGCTCACAAACTTAATCTGCTCCAGGACTCTGGTCCTGACCCAAATTCGTCATGAGCTAAGTCAAATTTCCTATAAGGTTCAATGTAAGTAAGGTTAATCCATTCTGTAACTACTTTTTTGATCACAAAAATTTGAAGTGGATGCGCTGGGGGGTGGGGGGAGACGGGCACAATTGCAATCATCACCTGATGTGGAGTTTGCGACCCGAGGCAAAATTTTTCAGAAATTTCTGTTCGCAACCCGATTTGGTCGTGAACTGAGGCATTTGTGAGCCAAGTATATACCTGTGTATACTATGCAGAAATCCTGTTGAGCTGATACTGCCACTGCTACATACAGGGCAGTGTAATATTATATTTGTATTTCCGTATTGCATTTGTGCGTCATCCAGTTGCTGTTCCTCCCTCTTATGCAATGTTCTCACATGCAAACTCAGTCTATGTCCACATGATAAGATCGATCACACAGGAGCTGGCAGCTGGCACTGTGTGAAACAGCCTCTCAGGCTGAAAGCTCTTCAGCGCAATCTCCATTATGATAACCAAGTTGTGACCGCTTACAATATCGCACGGCTTTAGATCAATTATCAACATTTATATACTGTTTCTCCACAATGTCACCAAGGAGATACACAAGCATACAAATGGAAAACAGTAGCACATACAGATGAAATCGTTTCAAAACATTAAAACCATTATTTACAATGGATAAAGGACTCTTGACTCTTGTTCAAAAACCCAAATAGAATGAGAACTAGTTTTAGCTCTGAATGGCGTGCATGCCACATTTTGGGAGCAATGTCGGAGAAAGCCCTTTCACCAGGCACCCAAGTTTCTGCATGCACTGGGGGCTTCAAAAGTCCTCTCTTGTTGATCTTTATAGCTGGAGAGGGATTCCCTTAGATGGACAGGCCCTAAACCATTTAAAGCTTGAATGCTAAGTCCAGTACATTGAACTGATCCAGAAAGTAGTTGGTGACCAGTAATGGGTGATTGTTCAATATAGGGCTAATGTGATCAAAACCCTGTGCACTGGGTAGCAATCTACCTGTTGCATTTTGCATCAAATAAAGTTAGAAGTTCTTTGAGGTAGCCCCAAATAGTGTATGTTGCAGTAATCTATGCCATAGCCATTGATTCAGGAATGGTCACAAGTAGCGTACACAGCTTGCTACCACTTCCACCTGAAAATCCAGGAACAGTGCAACTTCCAGGAGTACTCCCAAGAAATGAACTTTATCTTTTGGATGGAGCACAGCCCCTTCCAGGACAAGTTGAATCCCTGCTCCCCTACTAATAGCACCTCCTTCTTGTCTGGATTTGATATGCATGTGTTGAAGAACAGAGTAAACAGTACTGACTGCTTCAACATACTGATGGTACCTCATTTGAAAGCTTTGGGTTCCCTGCAAGAGGCAGTGGGGCAGCCACCTGTGAGGGCCGCTTTGACTAGAGTCCTGCAGCAGGTTGGATTCCATGGCTTTATTGGCCTCTCCCAACTCTACTATTCTGTGATTCTATGAGTCTTCTGTCAGCAAAGCTCCATAATGCATAATTGGCCAAACATTTAATTTGACCCATTAGAATGGTTGTCATCTTTTTCTTGAACAAGCGGTTCTCTTATTCCCACAAAGCCCACATGTCACATGGAAAAGTATGGAGATGGTGAATGGTTTATGACAGGTCTGCAGTGTAGTCTAGACTTTTATCTGCGTTTTGAAAGAGGCTGCAAGTTTGTGGCTTACCCTGCAAAGTAAGTCCACTGTTATCCCCAAAATACCTTTTGCAATAGGGGTCCCCATCACCTGTATCATAATCTCCATACTGATAGATCCTGAATTCAATATTAATTAGAAACAATTCCCTATTTACATACAGAAAAAATAGTGCCAGGTCCAAGAGCAACATCAAGACCAACAATAAAGAATTCTTCAAATATATTGGAAGCTGAAAACCAACTAGAGAAACAGTTTGACTCTTGAATGATACTAGAGTTAAAAGAGTACTCAAGAAGCATAAGGAGACTGTGGAAAACCCAGATGAATTCCTTCATTTGTCTTCAGTGCAAAAGATACAGGGCAGAGAGCTCAGTTTCAAATGATGTATTCAGGAAGGGAATCTGAGGAACTGAGGCAGACTGTGGTGACAAAAAAGGAAGTTCTCAGCTTTATTGATAAACTGAAAGTTGAGAAATTGAAAGTTTATAAATCCCAGACAGAGTTCTTAAAAAAAAACCCTCAAATCTGAAATTGCTGATCTCCTAGCAAAAATATGTAACATGTTGTTAAGAGCAGCCTTTGTACCAAGGAACTGGAAAATGGCCACTGTGAAAAGTCAGCCAATGTACATGCAGCTTTAGAGAAAGCTCACTGTTTAGGTTAAGAGTTGCTTGGTCCATAAGGCCATAATACTACAAAAGTAAAGATTACTTAATGGGAAGTAAGTGCCATTGTACTCAGTGGCACTTCTATACAAATAGCAATGCAACAGGATTGTGCTGTTAGTGACAAGGGGAAAAGCAACAATTTTGTCGCAGTGCAACATGACCCATTTCAAAACACCAGCAAAAGAAACCAGAGCAGGGAAACATGATAAAGTTTATCAGGTGCATAGACCTATGAAATAGGCAAAGTCAACAAAACCATAACATTAAATAGCAAATACTGAGAGGTGATTGAGCCTGATTCAATTACAATAATGCTTCTATTTGTAAAGCAAAACCAAAATTACTGAAATAGTTATCAGTTATGTATTCCTATCTGGCGTAGAAATTTCAGATGCGGTATTCCACTCTGCTGTCGCCTCTGTTAAAACAAGTTTGCACATTAGCTTGCAAGTTGGTATGAAGGAAGCTCTTGAGCAATTTTGGCTAGGACCAACTTATGCGCCAAATAGTTTATGGATTAGATGCAAATTCCAGATACAACTGTGCAATTCTACAATAGCATGACCTTGTAGTAGCACTTACTACCAAAACACGTTTTACAATGCTACCATGCAGTGCTATACTAACAACACCATAAAGTATCAGCTACTCATCAGAACATGTTACACAATGCATTGTCTAGCAGTCTTGCCAAAACTAAGTCCTTTCAAATATTTTGACCTTATTAGCCTGAATCTGATGTGAAGATATCACATCCAAAGTAATCAAAAAATCACTCAAAAGATTCAGGACCCAGGCCCATAAGACATATATCTGTATAATATTTGCACATGCTAATGTTTGTGCAAATTTTATAAGTTACCACAATTTATTTGCATTCCACAGAAAGCAAAACCATTTAATTTCTTACCTGTATCATCTAAATAAAAGTAATTGTATTTATTTGCACCTCCCTCATATAATCCCAAATCAGTTGTTCCTTTTAAATGAAAGTAATTCACAAATTCTTCAGTTAATATTGTAATTAGTAAGAATTAACTAGTTAATTATTAGTTTGAATTGGTTCTAATGCATTCAGTATAAGAAATGCAGTGTTTTTCTGGACTTTCGCACATCCATACAACCAATTAGTGACCCACCAGCCACGACCAAGCTGAAAAATAAAAATACAATGTGGATTTACACAACTGCAAAATAAGACATGACTACCAGTTTGAAAGACAAATTTATTTCCATGCTTAGATTTTATTAAAATATAAGCATTCTAAGGAGTCATCATTTCTATAGAGCAAGACCACTGCTATTTTACCAAAATACTGTTCCCATGTCATTTTTATCCTTCTGGAGTGCTTCAAACCATTCTTTATTTCTAATTATACAATGAGCTTGGAAGTATGTTGTGATATCTGGTATTGATAATCCCTTTTCTTGGAATTTTTCAATGTTTCAAATTTAACTCTGACCTTTTTCTTAGCACAGAGAAACACACTGATTAGATGCCAGCAATCTTTCATGTGAGACTTCACAGGAGGCCTTCCGGGTGGCAGTAACCACCCTCATGTAGTTAAGGAGCCATAAAGGTAACAATCTTTTAGAATTTCCTTTAAAAAAAATTTCTCACCCATCTTGGACTCCTTGTGTCATCTTTCTGTATGTGAACACTACAGTAAAACTCATGATTTTCATTTTGGCTGAGATTCTACTCTAATCACTACAGTAATTAAAGCAGAGAACATTTTAAAATGATCGTGCATATATCAAAGCCATATATACCTGCTTGGTCCCGAAGATCTTCAGAGACCCTGCTTGTTAGGATGCCCACAACAAATTACATTAAGCATGTGATTTCTAAGGGACTTTTCAGTGGTGGCACCCCTGTTCAGGAATACCCTCCTCAGAGAGTCCACCTGGTGCCAACATTTATCTGGTGATCTTTTTGACACAGGCGTATTCTCCCTGGCATTTTTGTTCTGTAGATGTATTGCTTTTACATCTGCCATTATATTTTTAAATGTTTACCTTGCTGCTCATTTTTGCATTATATCTAGTTTTAAATCTGTTATATTTTATTATGCGGTATGCTAGGGGTTTGTAATAGTCCGGGGAACTTCAGTTATTGAGCAGTATAGAAACATAGTAAATAAATATCAACAGATTCATTGACTTATGAAGCATATTTTAATTAGTTTGCTGCTGTAGTTGATAAAATAATTTGTTTTGCATTAGTGTGTGACATTTTAAAAGTTTTGGAAGGAAAAACTTGATAAACAGAACAATATTTACAGTCTGGCAAACAGGCTGAGTTACTGAGGGCCTGTCCAAGGTATAATTTTGCTGGATTGCAAATAAACCTTTTTCTGAAAACAAATTCATTGAGCCTGTTCTACAATTCTTTTTGTATCAGTTACAAGTAAGTTAAGCTCAGCCTTCTAAATCACCCTACAAGGAGTGATGTGTCAAATTAAAGACAATGCACTGAGGAAGAGGAGCCCATTTTAAAGAAAGAGAAATTGGACAATTAGAGATGTTAAAGTGAATACTTAAAGATGCTTTGCATAATCAGTGAACAGACTGAAGAAGAACATGAGGGACACACTCTGGTTTTAGGGATTCTTGTTTGCAAAGTGGAACCAATGTGTTCAGGATCTACTATTCTTCCATTTTTTAAAAATGGCCAAAGTTGGTTCAAACCGCTAGCCATGCATTTCTTTATGACAAATTATTTAGGTGTACTAGTGCATATGTGCACTGATTAAAACACCTACAAAAATGAATCCTGGTTCTTCTATGCACTGTGATTTAACCTATTGCCATGAATACATGGGTCAAATTACTTTGCAAACAGAAGTTCCAAGAACTGTTTTTGCATGTTGATTGAATCAGGGTGCAAATGCTTTGTTTCCGTTTTGCAATTCCAAGCAATACTTAAGAATTGCTTGTCCCAGTGAAACTAGAAGGCAAAGATTCAACCCATGGAACCATAACAGAATGAAATGTGGTTATGGGGACTATCTGCTCATCCCTAGGATAAACTTTAAGGACATAGGCAGGTTCTTTATACAGCTGAGTTGAAACTCTGGGCTGTAAGCAGTGGAAATACTACTATTTAGAATAGACCCATTGGAAAGAATGGAACTTAAGTTAAACTAACATTGAATATAATCCAGTCTTGGCTTCATGCTCATTCTTGTTAAGAACTGCTTCCTTTTTTTTTTGGCTGTGCTTTTATGGGCTCCTTCTCCAAGAGGTTTCAGGAAGCTATGCAGTCCTTGAATCCAGCTGTCCAATCTAAGAAAGCTCTTCCACAGGACTAAGCTGCAGCTAAATGCTTCTCTGTACTCTTTCTTCCAAGGCTTGGGAGTCCTGAAGATTTACGGATTGAAGCCTCAAAGGTCAGGATTGGAGAGCTTTTACACCGTTTGCCCAGATCTTCAGCAAAAGGCAGGGAAACACGCTGTATTTTCAATTTTCATGTAGTTTGCTTGGCTCTTTGGTCAAAACTTCTCTATTCATTGTAAAAAAAAAGTGGGGAGGGTTTAACAATTTGGCTCAGCTGTAGCTGTAACTTATACCTGGTCCACAGAAGAAAACAGAACTAGGAAGGTGCTGCCCAATTAAACTTATCTTTAAAAAGCAAATGGTGCCAACTTTCACTCCACATTCCAGACATAAGCCATTGTCTTTATGTCCTGCCTTCTACTATTATTTCCAGCCAGTCTTTTGTGAAGCACTTTGCAAGCCACAAAAGTGCAATACTGATACGTTATCCCTCCTAATGGTAGGTGGAGTGCTGTGGCTATTTTGTGCTGTATTAAATGTTATGAAGCAACTTGAAATCTTCTCCTAGAGACAGATGGATTTCTCTGGAATGTTTTGGCATGAAATTGTGAACCTGCAAACAAAAACACTATCAGATAATATTTACGATATAGAAGTATATACATTCTATTAGAAACAAGATGACTTAGGATCTGATCTTTTAGTACTTGACCTGTCATTTTGAACTCAATTTCCCATTTGTAAGATTGAAATAGTATGATCTTACATCACAGGAAGTTGAAAGAAAATATTCAAACTTCAGCAGTTTTGGCCAGAGACTCAAATCAATGACCTAATTCACACAGCATGACAAACCATCATAGGTAACTAACCAGAGTAGGTTATTGTGCTGTCCAGACCCAGACTGCTTCTGCAGATTGGCTTATTTTAGGACAAAAAGCCACCCTCACAATGTATGGCTTGTTCTACCATGGGTTGTTGTGTCATCCAAACCAAGGAGATTGATTCCTTGAAGGTTTGTGTCTTGAGCTAGGGTTCCTTCCTTCACACATTCAAAGCCACAGATCTTTCTCGCAAAACATCCTTTATTGACTAAAGCATTTTGCAGAAGCACAAACACCCAGAAAGAAGCTCTGAGCATGGACAGAATGGTTTATTGAACCCAACCTAGTATTCATCTCCAAGAACATTACTTATGAGCAGGCCTGGGATCTATCTTTCAGGAGGGTCTTCTGAAAATGAGCACACCTCCTCTTTGTACAGCCACCCTTCTCTGCTGGCACCATGTCATGTGGTCCAGAGCTTTCATCTGCCTCTGAGAAACTCCCCTGTTCTAATCTTCATCCCACTTACTTTTTTATTTAGCATATGATGAATCCTTGACAAGAGAAAAAGCAAATATATACACACAGTGTGTGCAGATATATACAAAGCTTCTGCAGGAGTACAGCAGTAGCCTCATAACTGGATGTCTAGTTCTGCTAACCAGGCGATCGCTTCTGGTGTTGCTTCATGCAGATCTTCTAAGGAGCCAGGAAATGCACATCTTGGGCATTTTTGCACAATATGTTTGATAGTTTGCACATTGGCACCACAGTCGCAACAAGGAGAATCTTTTCATTCCTACTGATACAGAGCAGAGGTACTCCTTCCAGTATCACATCTAAGTCTATTCCATTTCATCCAGACAGAGCCATACCCACTTCATCTGTCTCTGAGAAACTCCCTGTTCTAATCCCCATCCCACTAACTGTACATCTTGGTATAGGGCTTCCTGTACACCTTGGAAGTCTGGCCTTGAGATAAGTGTCTCTGCTTCTCTCACTCCCAACAGGTTGTGTGGATAAGCTAGCTCTGTTGCTCTTCACAATTTTGCCTGTGCCAACACCAGTGACTGTTCCCCTCCACAGATGCCCAGGTTCCACTTTGGAGCCACCACTGATTTGGCATCCTTTTAAAAAGATGTTCAGCCCTCCACAAAAGTACACAATTGTGCTCTTAATTGGTGTTGTTGCTGTCGTCCTCAGTGTGCTTACAGTGCCCGATATATATAGTCTTCCCTTGTAGGTTTCAACTTTCAAAGGGAAGCAGAATAGGTAACAGACTGACAAGGTGACACTGCAGATAGCTTAATTTGTGCACAGCTGCCATCTGTCAATCGAAGGAAGGGAGGAAAATTGGCAGAAGTTGACAGCATTACCTCCTTGGCAATCCTCTGGTTTTTAAGTGTTAAATGGACAGTTTTCACTGTTCTCTACCATTTCAACACTCCATCAATCCTCAGTTGTTCCAGAAAGGGAAGATATTTGCTCCATACCCCCTTTCAAATCTCATTTTTGGAATACCCACTGCATGACCATGACAATTCTAAAAATATCCCTGAAGAGTCAGCTGAATGGGGCTGAGTGCATATTTGTTGCTCGCTGTTCTTTTTTTTTTTTTTTTTTTTTTTTGCTAGCTCACTTAAGTGCAATAAAATCCATTATTCACATTAAAATTAACTAAAGGGAGACCAAATGCATGCTGTTTTTCAGTATTTACAAGCAATATTTGAAAATCCTATTTCAACACATCATAAGCAATATTCCAGTTTCATTTACAGTTTCTATTTGTTTTAGATGGAAGAGTGTTTTTCATTTCATATGCAGTTCCTTAACAATGGAAACGCTCTGGAGAATACACTTGGATTATGAAATATTGAAACCTGATATGAACAGTCTTGCTACATAGACACATGACTGAGTTTATGAGATCTTGAAATAACAACAGCTGGACCATGCAGAGACACAGAAGAAAAGGGCTGCTGACCAGTGCTTTCCATTGAAAAGGCAGCCCTCTGCTGGGCCCTTAGTAGTACTGCAGAAATATTTCTACCGCTGTGCATGCATACATTAAATGCTGGTTCGAAAACCTATACAGGACATTGCTGAGCATCCTACTCAGAACACCTGCTGCCAAATGGGTTTTATTTCCCCAAGTAATGTTTAAGAGTGCTGTCTAAATAGATGACCTTTGCTATATCTGGCCAATTCATCAATAATTATTTATTCCATTGTATATCTCAAATGCATATGCCCAGTGCAAATTACATTTAGTTTATTTCAAACACAAGGAATGGAGATGAGCATAAACCAAGCAAAAAGTACATGAACCCTACCTGCTGCTCCATGTCTTTCATAAAGAAGTAATTTAGTATGAAGTGCTTTATACAGGGGATGGGGAAGCTCCAGTCCATGGGCCAACTGGGCCAGTAGGGCTGCCTACTTGGTTGAACAGCCTTGCCTAAGACCACTCCATCAACCCTTTCGGAAGAGAATTCCTGAGGGTATTTTCCATCAATAATTATGTCTGCAGATGACAGGGGGTTCTATTATCCTAGCTGAAAACAGAATGGCATACTGAGACCTTTACCCACCCTGTGCTTTTCCCGAGGAAGGGAAGCTACAAAGCAGGTGAAAGCAGCTGCCTGACCAAAATGCTGGCTGGAGGAATTCCAACCAGGGTATGGCCATGAACTGAATGACATCCTGAACTATGGCCAGAGCCCCTGATGACAGCAGGGCCACGGACGCCTGGATATGTGGGTGGATTATCTGCCCTACCACCCAATGCAAGTTTCCCACCCCCGTTTTATGCTTCCTTTTCACTGGCCCCGATTTAGACATCAAGTAAAAGGCTTGTTCCTCCCTCTACCACATTTCCCCACCAATGCCAACATGTGGAACCTGAGAATATCAGTTCTGAGAGTTGGCAGCTTGCATTATAAAGCTCCTTTTTCTTGAATAAAACAGAGTTCTTACCTGTCAATACCCCTTGACCTGTCCACATATGATTAGCAAAATCCATAGAAGTCAATGACCTTTTATGAGGTGTATCTGACTGAAAGAGATGTATAGACTTTTTTTTTATCTATTATAAACTTTCACTATTTACTCGAAGTTAGACAATTTTTGTATTCACATGTAATACTAAACCATGGTTTAATGTTATGTACATAAGTGTTGGAATTACCTTTTAAGCCCTTTCATGGCTTGGGTCCAAATTACCTTCAGAGAGTGCCTTTGCCCATATATTCTGCCTCGCCAGTTAAGGTTCTCTGGGAATAATCTTCTGAAGTTTGCTTCTGCAAGATTAATGTCAACTACCCAGAGGACTTTCTTAGTGGTTGCCCCTAAACTGTGCAATGGTCTGCCAGGAGACATGTGTCAGCTATCCCAGACTGCTACTTTCAAGAGGGAGTTAGAGATGTATCCCTTCCATCAGACCTTCCCAGATTAATTTCCATATTAGTTTTATGCTTGTTTTTAGTCAAAACATTATTAAAATTTTTTGCTGGTTTTAATATCTTGCAAACCACCCAGAGCTTTTGGAAATGGGGGAATATATATAAATAAAAAGTACAATGAGCCAGAGCACAACTTCAGTCTCAAATTTCCCTTTCTCATCCTCTGTAGCTGGAAGACTTTGCAGGCCTTTCCTTTGCTTAATCTCAGATCATTGTTGTGTATAACCATGGCTTATGACAAACAGTAGTCAGAAACCATGGTTGTGCATGAACTGGACCACTGACTGGGCCACAAAGAGAAGCATTGTAGCCCAGACCATCTTTTGTTCCAGGGGCAGCATCAGATATTGGTTAGTCAATTAGAAATGCAAACCAGACAAGGAAAGGGAATGAGCAATGGGATGGCAAACATATTAGTAATATGTGGCCCAAGGAAAAGACCTGCAAATTAGAGCTAATAAAATAATCTACAGTAAAATTATAATATATGGACAAAAGAGAGAGAACCAGTCCCACACAACTGCAAGACTGCCTATGAAAAGTCTGAAGAAGACATTTCTTTTATTCTTGCTTCCAGTTTCTTAGTAGAGGTTGCAAACTTTCACATACCTACCCAGAATGTGTGAGTAGTATTAGGTCTTGAAAACTGGTCTCTTATGAGAGTTCGTTCTCTAAGTGGCCGTTGTTCCATACCATTAGGTACTGCACTGGATATTCTGTTCTGGGGATACCTTCCTCTATTCTGGAGGAGGTGCCAGGGGTTGGGGGGGGAGGAAGAAAAAAAGTTAACTAGTGGTAAACAAATGTAAATTAGTATTAGCAGTTCACATAAGAATGCTTTGGCTTTTCAATTTATTTATTTATTGCCCTCCCCTAATTTTTAACTGGCCCCTGAACACCAAGAGGAGAGATTCTAAAATTACTTACTTGGGCTTCTTCAATTGGGCTTCAAATAAATAGAAATGAATATATCAAGTATTTTACCATAAAAGGAGAGAATTTTAATTGCATGTTCAAGAACAGAGATGGTAATTGGGGTTAAACAGTATTTGAACTGCTAAAGCGATTAGCGTGGGGGCACACTAGACTCCTGAGCAATCTTTTGCAAAAACATGAAAAAACACTACTCAGATAAACAAGCTGAGTCTCATATAGGTTTAAAATAAACTTTATTTACTCTGCTTTGCTCTTCTCTATTCCTATCTCACAGAACTTCTTTTGCAGTTAGGAGAGTAGTATAGTAGTATTTGCTAATATACTTTCAGTGCAACAGAAACTGGATTAACTAAATTGTTTTGCCCAGCATGGAAAATAAAGTGTGAACAGAGATGTAGCTAGAGAAAGAAAAGTATAAGTTATTAAACAAAGTACATGTAGCTTGTACAGGAGTGAAATGACTGAATGTAAAAGGGAAAGAACCAAACTCAGTAATGGTGAATCATAATGGGGAACTGTCAATGCAACTGTAAACCAAAAGCAGTTGCATTACAGCAACACACTAGTTTGCCAAAGAAAATACCCCTTCGGAAATGTTCTAAGTTTGTAAACAAAAGTAATGAATTAATTTAAACAGAATCTTACCAATCCTAACCGCGATGCAGGAATGGAAAGGTACTGATCAACTGTGTCTGAATATATTGGTGGCAACTTGTTCCGGGTTGTAGGTGGAAGTGGAGAGGACAAGCGATCTAAGGTAGTGCACCTTTGGAACAGCAATGTGGATGTATGAGATTACATGCATTTCTGTCCTTTCAATCACAGCAAGAGCTGTTCAAAAACAATGCATGACCAATAACAGAATTCCTGTTACATTTAGTGAAATACCATGTGTGTGAGAGAGAGAAAGAGAGAGAGAGAAAGAGAGAGATGTTTTCCAAGAATGCACCACATAAATAGGCTGAAGGCTTCAGCAGGTTTTCCTCCGGTCCAGGCATTGCATTCTGTGGCAAAGCCCATGTGTGTGTGATGCACAGAGACCATGAAGAAGAACTGTATTCCACTATTCACTGTCCACTGAATACACTCATTGCATGTGTATTATATTTTTTCCCATTTGCCATACAAAATCTGATGATTTTAATGCACTTTCAACAGGACACAAAAATCCAGGATTGTATATAATATGAAAAACACATTAAATTCTGTACCAAGTTACAGTCTAATTTAATGCCAAAGCTGAATTCTGTCACCTCATTTATGCTCTACTGATTTTGCTGTTCTCTCTAAGCACTGTTCGAACTCATTCAAATTTATTTTCACAGTTTTAAGGACTAAAATAAAATAGGGTTTCAGGAAGTGGAATTAGATTCCCAATGCCAAGTGTTGCACCTGTGTGATCCAACTTCAGAAATGTGACACAGTCTACACTAAACACCATCACCTGAGCGCAACATGCTGCTAACATCACAATAGCAACAAAAAGAAACAAAGCCTCACAGTTTTGTCCCCCGAAGAACTTCATCGCTGTAAACATTGAGGGTTTTTGAGCGCAGTGGGTCGGTAGCTATTGAAGGCAGCCTGCGATGGCTTGCCGCTTTCCTACAGGATCCAGGAAATGCTCGAGATGAAGAAAGAACACTGCTGTCAGTATTTCTCCCCAGCCGATTTCGTGCTGAGTTAACACTGGAATCGACACGTTGTGGCTTGTCTTCCTGTTCATTCCTGCGGGGAGGAAAAAGACAATTCCAGCAAATGTCAGTGCAGGTTCAGCTTGACCTACCCCCTCATCACCCCACCCTATATCCAAATATGATTTCTTTTTCCCAATAAAACAGTAGATGGATAGACAGACAGAGAGAAAATAGGTTTTTTTAATGCACAAGATCCAAAATAATAAGTCACAGAACCTGCTTGAGCATGTTTACTTTAAAAGGTTATGTGGGGGTCAGGTACCAGGCTACAAATTACACATAATTATAGCATGCACTGTGATTGTGAAATGTTACATCGTAAGTAAGACTTTGCAATACATACTGTATCTTTTCTGTCAATCCCGAATGTCTCTGTTGCAGTGGTTTAGCTTGAATGGTCATGACACCATTTAAATCACTGTGTAAATTACCTGGGAAACGGTGTATCTAAAGAAAGCCACAGAAGCAAATGCATTAACTTCTTCCAGGTGACTTACCAAGAAGCCTGAACACCTAAAATATGAACAATGTTCTGGCTCCAGTAAGAAAATATGTGCAAGGCCCAACGAAGATGCCAAGGATAATGTATTTATTGTTGATTTACTGAACGTGTATATCTGCCTCAGAATACTGGTATTCTGGGCTGCCCACAAAACAAATACAAAATTCAAAATATTAGAAACTAAGAACATAATTTTAAATGCTTGGGGGGGTGGTTTAAACTAGGAGGACTAGACCATAAAACAAGGTCTAGATCTTTACCTGGTGCTGGAAAACAGAAAAAAGATGGTGCTTGGGTGATCCCTCTGAGACCAGATGGGATAGTACTACTGAAAGCACCCTCGCCTTGTGAGTACTTGTGGTCACTCACCCTTCATTGGCAGTGGGTGCGCACCCTACTGAACACAATGGGACTGCCTTCTGAGTAGATGCATAGAGCCACTGTAAAGCTCTCAAATATAGTCAAGCGGGGTATTGACTATAAAGCTCTCAAAACATCTCAAATATAGTCAAGCAGGGTATGTCCCTTAAGCTTTCTCTATGACATGTGCAGACGATATGGAATGTTTCCATGCACAATAATTGAAGAATAAATCACATTTGCTTTTAATTTACTGTGTAATGTTTTGTTAAAACAATACAGAATTTGAAGAAAAATTGCAGAAGCACGTTTAAGTGTCACCATGATGCAACAATACATAAGTATGATAGAAAGCTGCTTTTTGCTGACTCAGACTATTGGTGTGACTGTGAGTCGTGTTTCTGGCTAGAGTTTTGCCGGCCCTTTCTGGAGATGCTGCCAAGCACCTGTTCTACAGCCCTTCCCTACCAATCCCCACTGTTTGGGGGGAATTTGCTACAAATGCAGAAACAGATTCAAAAGAGGCTGTGTAATTAAGCCAAGAGAAGAATGAAAAGTGATTTCCTAACTTAAAGAATCAACACCATTTGATCCCCGAGTGGACCCTGACTACCAGCCAAAATAGTTTAATTTCTCACCAAATTCAAAACCACTTAATTAACGGAGATACAGACCACTGCAACATGAACAATTCTGGGTAAGGTTAAGAAGAGTCAGACTTTTGTCTCTTTTGTGTGTTTGTGCACATGCGTACACATGTAGAAAGCAGCTGTAACCTCTCAACAAAGCTAAGGGCTGAAGTGAAGGGTCAGTAATGCAATGTTATAAATCAGTGTATCTCACACAGGGCAGCAGAGGTCTTTGAAGGAGAATGGCAACATACTGAGTAACACAGAGGAAATATGAGAGAAGGATCCACTAATGGAAATAATGAATGCCTATCGGCAAGACACCGTGTGGAACTGAATTTGATGTAATGATTACCAGAAGGTAGTCAGAATGCACTTTACCTGTGAGGGGACAAAATGAAAACCAAAAGGCATTCCTCGAACTTCTGACCCTCTTGATGGGGGCACACTTGATGTCTCAATGGCAACACGGGAAATAGGTAGATGTGGCAACTTATTTCCGGGAGCTTTCAGTTTCTCTATTTGCTTGTCATGATCTAGTCCATCATTAAAAAGACCCAACATGAATCAGGCATACATTAACGTATTTAATACATTTATGGATAATGCGCAAATGAATACAAGCCTGACACAGTCATAATGCTGGCTTTCTGCATGTCATGGTTTGCAAACTGAAGCCAACCTTGACAACATTTCAACCCCATTTCCTTTCCCCCTCTGAAGTCTCTGAACTCCCAGAACTAACCAGGGTTTATGCTGTTACATGTGCACCAGCATAAAACATAACTAATACATAGCACAGTCCCCTGGATTATGCATGCACTTGAAATACTCAGATTGATACAAAAATGATGCTCACAGTTTTTTGAATAATTTACTATGAATACACTACTCCAAACTATCTGAAAATTTCCAGAACAGATTTATTTATTTCTTTATACATACATACATACATACCCCACCGTTTTTCCTTCCCTGGAACTCAAGACATGGAGCTGCCCTCTTTCTCTTAATTTTAACCTCACAACAACAACCCTGTGAGGTAGGTTGGGCTGAGGGTCGGAGGCTGGAGCAAAGTCATCCAGTGCACTTCATGCCTGAGAGGGGACTAGAAAGGCAGGTTGCTTTCTAGTTTTTTGGTTTGTTGTTGTGGTTTAAGAGTGAAAAATGAGTCAGTGGTAGCAGGAGTGGAATCAAGAGGCACAAGAGAGGAGTGATGAGGTCAAGAAAGCCAGAGAAAGATAACGAGGGTAAGGCACTTAGCGGTCGAAGCAAAGGGGAAAGAGATTCTCAGTCTAGCATGGTGGTGGTCGAAACGGAACAGATGGGGTGAGCAGGGACCTCTCCCCTCTACCTCCCCAGAACCCAAAGGGGAGGGGCTCCTGCCCAAGCCAGCATGCTAAGCTACGGAGGATTTTCCTGGCCTAGGCACGGCGCAGGCTCACAAACCCCTATGTGTGATGCATGGGGACTGCAAAGAAGAACCCAGATCTCTCAAGTCCCCATCTGCACTCTTCGCCACTGCACCACACTGGCTGTCAGTTGCATTTAGAACAGCTGAATCTCGAAACATCCACAAATCTTATAAAGAAACCACTTTACGAATGTTTTTACAATGGCTGTTGCATAAATATTCCAATTACCTATGATAGATAACTCCCAGTGCTTTCTTATTAATTCTTCCAGTATTCGAATTACATTCTTCCACACATGATCAAATACTTCAGCAGCCACGGCATCTTTGATACAGGCATTGGGGGAAATGGGAGGAATGCCATGTTTAATCCTCTTTCGGGCAAGATGAAAATTCTTTTGTTCCAAACTTTCATCACCACTAATGATTGAAACAAATTAAACCTTTATTACTATTAGTTCTTAATAACACTATACTTAATTGCAGGATCAAAGACAGGGCCCCACAATTTTGTTTCAGTACTTGCCAAATCAAACAATTACAACCAAATTCTACCTAGATTCTGTCTATCTAAAACTATGGATAGGCTGCCTTTAAGGGTGGAATGCTTCCACAATTTATATGCAAAGCAAAAGCACTATCCATCTGGCCAACAGGCTGGCCTTGACTGGCAATCAGCTGGTCATATAACTAAAGGCCAAATTAAGTGTGCTTAAGAAAATCTGGAGAAAAAAATCTGCCATGGAGCCCCAAACTGGGACAAAGTCACAATACAGAGCCAAATAAAATCACTTTCTCCACACTGCTCTGCTGTTTACCTTTGGAGGCAAATAGCAGCCAGCTAGATGGTTATTTTCTGGTATTTTCTGGTAAAACTGGTATGGGTCCCAGATCAGATCACATTCCAAATGGGAGCCCCACAGTTGCCTTTTCTCCAAATTAAAAACAAGTTAATCAGGTTTCTTTAAACACATCGCTTAGATTCTTTAAGTCAGTTACAAACATTTTTATTATAGTCAGTAAAATCGAACAATTACAGTTCTTTGTTGTCAAATGCAAGATATTCTTCAATTTTGCCTTCTGTATCATAAATTTCTTCTTCCAAGAATGAATACACAGATGACTCGGCTAGACAGATTCCTGGTAATTCAGAGCTGAATGCCTTGTGCACTGGAAAAGCTGCAGGAACCAGTTTAGATCCTGAGATACACAACCTAAAGACAGTAATTTTAACAAGGGGGGAAGAGGTGCAAAATAAAATGTATGCATATCTTTTACAGGGAAATAATATTAAGATACTTAAGTAATAGGCTTACTAAAAGTTACCAAACAAATAAGAAAAAAATCTTATATGGTGACTTCTACTGATGAGCTTAGCTCAGCCACTAACTTCTAATTTTCCAGGTCCAAAAAGAACAGGGTAAAGTTGTATTTTGTAATCAGGGTATTTTCTGAGCATTGTCATGCAACCAAGTATCTGGGATGATTGCCCAGTGCTGCTAATCGTCATCCAATCTTATTTCCCTATATTTAACATGTTCTTTAACAAAAAAAAGCATATAATATACAAGTTTTTTCATCTCTAAAAAGTTATTCCATTTGCTAATTTTGCTACAATATGACTACAAGTACTAGACGTTTAAGTACACTGTAACTGTTTAAAACTGATCTTTTTTTTGCTTTTTAGAATGAATTCATATTGGGTGACACACCCTATTTTATTTCAGTAAATAAAGTTGTAGTATATTTCAGCAATATATAAAATGTTTATAAACTATATTTAAAAATATGAAAAAGGGATAAATCTGCATTAAAATATCAACATACTCTTTCATGCTGCTGCTGATTTCACTCAGGCTAGGCAAGGATCTGGAATATACAGAGCTGGCATTTCTACTCTGGTAATGCTGAAAACCTTCATCTTTTGGGAAAATGAGCTGTTTGCCCAAGATCCTGCAAAAGAACAAATGACGTGTTGTTAAAAAAGTTTTTAAAAAATGCAAATATGTGTACCACAGTTGAACCACAGCTGTTATTGCTTTGCAGCACAGATGTGTAAATCATGAACTTCAGATGGTAGAAGTCATTCTTGCTAATTGCCACAACCAGAGGCTTACTGCTTAAGCCAATGCTTAAAAAGCAAATTTATTTTTATTTTACTTATATGATTTTATACTGTATAATATGCTACAAGGTTTAAGTAATTCACATTAAACTATAATATAACATTATTAGTACCAAATAAAACAATAATTAAAAACATAAACCCTAGCTCTTCATGGGTCAGGGAATGCCCACATGAATAGATACATTTTCAAGAACTAATTAAAATTTGTCATTCTTTTTCCTCTAGAACTACATGTGGGAGATTGTTCCAAAGGTAAGTGCCACGCCACCAGTGATAATTCCACTTTCATGCCATTATTATTGGTGACAGAATGACCAGTAAGATATTCTCAGATCTCAGGGACTTACTTAATACATATACACAGATATAGATACCTCCAAGTTAAACCTATTTTGAGTGGAAATATTTCTAGAAAGTAGAAAACAAATTCACAGACCTCAGTAGTTAAACAAATTAAGTAAAGACCTGCCTTAAATGAAGTGATCGGTTGGTCCAGTCTTTGCATTCTGCCTTTAGATTCTCAGTCTGGGAACTGACTTTTCCTTCAAACAGCATTTCATCCACATCCCAAAATAACTGATGCACTCTCTGTGCATTAACTTTATCAAACTCCTAAAGGAATTTGAGAATAAGGTTTTAAATTATAGTTAACACACACTGGAAGCTGCCTGAAATGGCATTAGGTATTAGTCACTGTACCTCAAATTTAGCAACAGCCACACTTCTTTTAGCTGTTTTTTTACACAGGGCATTACATTAACATAGTTCTCAGTCAAAGGAATCAGGCTGCAGATGGGATGATCCCATGAACACACGATAGTGGGACAGTGACACAAGTGGTGGGCTGTGCCGTCACCACTAGAGTGACCATAACATTGTTTATTTAGCATGAAAGGTAGAATCACCTGGATCAACTCTGGACACTGATATTGTTCCCAGGGTGGTTGCTACAATGGACTAATTTCCTTGGGCAAAAAAGCTTCTACATGAAGCTTCTACAAATGGTCCTCAGCTGCAAAGCCTGGCTGGGATAATATATACAACCTGTCCTGTTTACAGGTTCAGGCACAGCCATTTCTGAATGGCAGTGCTGTAAAGCCTACCATATATTACATTATCAACACAACTGCATCTGCAAGGACTCATCATATAGAGTAAGGATGGAAAGAAGGCAAACTAGGAACTCAGTGATTTTCAGTAGATTAGCAAGGATTTATGACTCCCAATTCTGAAACAACAGGAGCGATACATTTATCCCCAGCCCAGATTTGGCTGATGAAATGAAGAAAGTTTGAAATAACCAGAAATAATTTTTTCTGTAAAGGGGACTGTGAGTAAAGTTCAACCATCTCCTAGGCTCAGAATGTGGTCATTCGCATCCTGTTCTTTAATTGTAAATGTAGGACTTTCACACTGAACTCTGGTGGGAAAATTGAAGGGATTCAGGGGAAATGACCAACAACAGTCAAGTAGCTCCAGCAAGACATCTGTCTACCATTTGATGGCATGGAGAGATCGCCGGAGCACTGCCAGATTCCACTGCTCAGCAACTTGTGCACCTTTAGGGTTACCCTAGCCATCCCTAGCAATGCAATGCATACTGACTGGGAGCAACTGCTAGTTCAGCAGCAGTAACTCAAGTTTTGGAGCTGATAAAATGCCAGGTGTTACAGCACTACAATACCATCTTCATCTTGTTCCCTGGCACTTCAGGCAAAGAGGCCCAAGTTAGAGTCTGAAGTTGTGATCTTAAGCCTAGAAGTTCCTTAAAATACACTGAGTAAAATGTTCAAGAATTTTCAAAGTCAAAGATAAGAAAGAAACGGGTAATAATGATGAAGAAGAAAGTAGGTCAAGAAAAGATTTCTTGAGGATTTGAGAAACAATAGTAGAGACACAGCAAAATGGTATCTTCCCAGAAGTCAGTGTGGTGTAGTGGTTAAGAGCATAAGAGCATGGGACTGGAACTCAGGAGATCTGGGTTCTAATCCCCAGCATAGATTGAAAACAGGATGGTGGATTAGACTGTTGTTTGGAATGATCCAACAGGCTCTTATTATGCCCTTAGGAAAGGGAGGGCATTAATATCCTGGAAGAGAAGCCCAAGTAGCACAAGCTACTGAAAAAGTACTTCTGAAGCACCTGAAGAAAAAAAGACAGACAGACAGACAGACAGACAGGGGCACATGGAGGAGGAGATGAAGTGAATCAGAAGGAGAAACATACGTCAAAGGGGAAGAACAGTGGGAATAAACAGGCTAAAAGAAATAGGATTGCTTAGAAGTATTGTGATTAAGACAAAGGCAAAACTCAGTAGGATTAGAAAGAGCAGCGGCATTATGCCATCTGGAAGATTTATCTCCAAAACATCAGAGTGGGAGTAAAGGTATTAACAGAAAGAAATTAAGCAGTACTGAGGAGAAGGGTGACAAGATTTTGATTACTGATTAAAATGTTGAAGAAAATGAAGTAGCTCCTGAATTATGAAAACAAAACAAAGAGGGGAGTAAAATGGGATGAAAAAATAATGCATGTTCATTAGTAATTATGAGATGAAATAGTTTTAACAGCCAGAGGAAGATTAAGAAGGGTGCAGCTAAGACTCTTTCGAACATACTAATCCTGGATTTCTAAACCATGATTTAGCAGTTTAGAACAACCATTGGGTCCATGTATTCCCTATCCTAAGGATGGAGGAAGGTTTTGTTTGGGTTAGGATTAGGATTAGAATTTAACAAATTCATGCTTCCTGAAACAACATGTGGACAGTTCCTTCATTATCAACATTTTGTTTTTTCCCAAACAAAAAAGTGTGCACAAAATGTGGGCATTGGGAGTACAAAACTCCATTTTGCTAAGGAAAATTGCTTACAAAAATGAATACATTAGGAAAACTTGCATATAAGGGAGAATGTATAAAGAAATAATATTAAATTCCAAGCAGACTTTTAAAAAAGAACTCACCAAGTGATGAAGAAATGGCACAGAATAACCGTAAGATGTAAAAATGAAAAGCTGAGAGAAATGGAATTTGATAGATATTTCCATCTATATCCCTTCTAAAAGGCTGGCTTCAGCATTTCAAAACTGTTACATTTAATCAAAGTTCCCTGTTCTGTCCCAAACACAAAATCTGCTTTAATGCTGGCTTAATAACCAGGATCTTTTAACCATCAACAAACAATAGATTGAGATCCTGGCTAGTTAAGTTGAGATTAAACTAGAGTTTTCCATTCAGACATAATGAAGAACTCTGGTTTAAACATACCAAAACTGCACCCCCAAAGCCAACCTGCAAGGGGGGGGGGTGAGTTCAATCTTCATTCATACCCCACTAAACCACAGTTTACCAAAAATTTATATCTAAACTGGTTTTCTTACTGTGTCACCAGAAGTCATCATACAGATGGAAAACTGACTCCTGAAGTAGTCAAGTCTAAAAGGGCAATGGACTTATTAATCAATAACTGTAATAGAGTCCAAAATGAAAAACGTAAGGTAGGCAAAGATACAAACACTTCTTCGAATTCCTCAGATAAGACCTGTTAATAAACTATGACCTACATCATCTCCCCAGGAATAAATGGAGCTTCTTTCGGTAGAAGGGCCTGTAGTGCAACTCTTTATCCCTGACCAAGAATTATTTAAGTCAGTGGGTGTTGTGTGTCCGCTGGATGAGACAGATGAAACAGAAACACTGTGGACAGAAACAAAATTCAGAAGTAATGTTTCACATACTGGTCTGTTTAAGAATCCTGTAGCATCCCAAAGGACTAACCTTTGCATATATACGTATGTGGCATAAACAGCAGTACTATGCTTGGGTAAATCTGAGACTCTGCTCAACAGCTGCAGCCTCTCCAAATTCCTGGGGACTTCACTCCTGAAGCTATGTCTAATTCTGGCAGTGGTGGCAGCAAAACAATCCAGAGTTTTCATCAAGTTTTGAGTGCACTTTATGACAGTGATGTAAAATCCCAAGGCTGTAAATCTGGTGACAAACCATTGACTATTTTGCTGTCACAGCAGCAAATTTAAGGACAGTAGCAGCAGCCCATATGCTGTGCTACCCACCTCAACCTACATTTTAACAACAGTAGTAGCAGAAGTAAATACAAATGCCATTAGTTGACACTGGTGGGAAAAAGTGGTTGTCTTATTGAAATATACTAAGCAAAAGCAAAATACACAATTTCTCATGGAAAATTGTGTGGCTTTTTAGCCTTATGGATAAGAAGCTTCATAAGTCACACTTCTCTCTGCCTTCTCTTCCTCCTTCATATATGCAAAATAAGACATTAAAAGCTTCTGCTTTTACTTTAAAACTATAGTGATAGCCTTGTGAGTTATGTACTTAAGAGAACGGTAATGTGTTTTATGTTAGTTTAACAAACTAGGACAGCAATTCATGGTTGGATTCTGATTTGTTTTGACTAAGTGCAATTAAAAAACCCCACAGTCCCTCAAGTTCAGACATGAAAAAGCCATCACTGGGATTGCTTCTAATAGGAAAGTGAAATCTTTTGACCTTCCCCTCATCATAAGAAGAGAGGGGAGTAGAGAGTGTATAAACACCAAGACTCATGCATCTTTATGCTATAATGCCACATCTGAACTTGGCTCTTCTGTGTTCTCACTCATGTTTATTTATTTTATAGTATTTATTAAATGTAAAGACCCATAGCCCTGCTGGGGCTCTCTGGGTGGGGTACATTACATTTCATGTACTGTATGAATGTACATATATACCACAGTCATGTGTGTGCTTGCTCAAACCTGTTAGAGGTTACCTTTGAGTTGCTTGAAGAAGACAACAGTTTGAGTGAATACTTGAAATACTTAAAGCACAATCCTATACCTGTCTACTCAGAACAGTGGGCTTATCATTAGTCAACTAGGTATAGGATTGCAGTCTACCTGAGAGTAAGACACACTGATATCAGTAGGACATCAGTAGACAGATATATGATTGCATTGCTAAGACTTTCTAAAATTCTCTTTTCTCTACATAAACCCATCTACCTTTTAGAAAATTCTACAATAGTTTCTAAATAGTATTACCACGTTTCTACAACACACATCCAAAGCCTTTTCGCACATTAAGGACTATCAGATTTATTGTGTCATAAGCTTTCATGGATATATGAAATCTTATTCCCACTTGGCAGATTAGGTAAATGCATACGCACACATATTCCCTCAGTTCAGAGGGAAAAAATGGTGAAGTCAAAACACCAGAACTTTTCCTGTAATCCTTTGTTATATGTCTATTACCCCCTGAAATCTACCACCATATGCATGTCATTAACTAGTTTTCACTTGTGCAAACTCTTGTAGAAAGACAAACTTTTCTGAAATCAGTCTTGTTAAAAAGTTTTGTATTATTCTCCTTTCTGATCATTGTTCTACCCCGGTACTCTTCATTATATAAAAGTAGCTCAAGCTCTTTTTCTCACCGCAAAGTCTTAAAGAAAAAGTATTTGATTTCAGTATAAAACACAGGTCTCTAAAATGTAATGGATATGAAAGACAGCCAGGATCCAAATATCTACATCTGCTCATGGAAGGGGAATAGTTTTCCCCTGTAGAACTTGGACATTCTTTTCTTGGAATGCTGATCTCTACATGCTTAAAAATGTTAATTTACAATATACAATGCACACACCATACAATATAACACACTCTTGTTAGCCCACATTGATTTCATTTTAAAAATTGATTTTAGAACTTAAAACATACAAGGTATAGGTGTCAATTGCTTCTTGTACACTTCTGGTAAAAGTCACTGGAAGACAATCTTCACTCTTTCCTTGGAAGGAACGATCTGCAACTCCTTTGGACAAGCCTTTACTGGAAGAAGAAAAGTGGGGGCAGATGTAATTAATTCCATTTTCTTATATATCATAAAAAATTCATTGATCTCCACACCTTTCACATTTAGAACACATCCTTCCCAATGTCGATTTAATTAAACATTAGGCAGAAGCCAAACTAAAAGAACAGATAAAAATCTAATGATTTATAGTTGCAGGTATACGCATGTTCTACATAAACCAACACAGGTTTGCAATACCCCAGGTGGTTTACATTGCTTACCTATGGCAATAACACAACCTGGTTTCATATTTAAATTCAGCCAACTATACACATTGGATTAGCGTGCGGTGAGCACTGCTTTGGAGGATTTTGCCCTTGCATGCTAATTCTATTGAACAGAAGCGGAGGAATCAATTTAAATGTATAGCTGACTATCTGCAAACTCATGTAAGTTGGTTTAGCTTGGCTAGCAACACAGTTAAATGGGGGCTTATATTAGTAATGTTCCTAGTCTGCAAACAGATTTTTGGGGTGGAGTGAGTAGTGGAAAATCCATGCCATGATTTCCTATTTCTGTGCCCTCAAGCAGGCCTTGCCCAAGCTGACATGCCTCCCAAGGCCAGAAGCCTTTGCTGTGAACTACTACGAGAGCACCAGGTTTTAGAAAAAATGTAAAAAAGAAACAGAGATACCACTGTCCCCCTTCCCAGTTGCAAGGAACTCAACCAAAGTCTCACAAGACGTCAATCCTTCATTGCATCTCATGAGACTTCTGGACAACAGGTGGGTTCAGAGGTGGCTCCAGCAACTATCTGTTGGCAACTGCTGGCAACTATCTCATTGCAGCAAGTGCCATGGCTCTCATGAGCATTCAGGTCAAGGAAGGGGTTCCTCCTGGTGCGTGGGGGGGGGGGGACCTGGCACAATTTGCCAGTCTGCCCTCCTTGCTGCCTAAATGTTTGCTTCAGTCTGCCTAATGAAAAGGCCAGCTCTGTCCTCAAGACGTCTGTTGGCAACGTTGCCTACCAGGAATAACTTTGTGCTACTTTCTTTTTAAAACTGAGGATCGGGTGGGGATAGTGCATTACACAATTATTATTCAGTACACACATATATTTATGAACTGTAGGTCTGTAAATCAGCATCCATTTGTATCTGTTGAACAAAGGAAAGTTTTTGGCAGACGCAAATGATCACCAGGTAAGAGCTTTGCTCACTGTTTATTGCAGTCTAAAGCAGGCAGCAAAAACTGGCAGTTTTATCACACCCAGACTTGGCTCCCACACACACTGGTGGACTGCACTGGTGCAGAGCATGTGTGATGCATTGCACAACAAGAAACATGCAAAGCACAGCCCTCTATTAAGCAAATAAAATGAGGGTTCCACCCAGTAAGGCTGCTCATAACTCTCTGAATTGAGAGTTGGAAGAGCAGGGAGGCAAGGACTGCCTCCATACTTCTCCCAACCTGCAAAAGCCTTGGATAGCCGATTTCAGTCTTTTGACCCTGCTGACAAGGAAGAAGGGCGGATGTGCTGCCAGGATTCTTCATATTGTCACTCTTCTCCTTCCCATGGGAATGTCATTCCTCTCCTCCCTGCCCCACTTCCCACTCTTCCAGCATCAGCTCCAAAGTTGTGCCTGCACCGAAGGAACCACCCTAGTTGCAAGGTGAAGAGGAGAGCACAAGCTGGAGCCCCTGTCCCAAGGTCAGAGCTGGGATCACAATCTGTCCTATGGCCATATAAGCAGCGTCAGCAGTCACAGGATTGGGCCAGGATTATCCCGTGAAATCTCTTTTGAAAAGTAGAAATCAGCTCACAAAGCTTCTTACACAACAGCATTTGGGGTCTGGAAGCAGAATACAAATGTAAAATAATGAAACAGTAATGTGATGTGAATAGTGATGTGATGATGTAAAATACAGAGTGTTTTCAATGCACAATAAACATTGAAGGCAGGATAGAAGCTTTTATGAGGAACCAAACAGATTCACAGGCATTCCTTTTTCTTTATTCTTTGCTATCCACTTGCTCCAACCCTGATTAAAATTTACAAGGGTGATTAAAAGCTGCCGATTATAGAAATGCAAATTCAGATGAAAACCCTATTTACAATTTAGTAACAGTCAAGGGTGGGGGGAGTTAATTTTTGTAGACACTGAAAATAACATCTGCAAACCTAGACACTTCCACGCACATAAACAAGAAGGAACGGGAGGTATAGTTGGTGCAGTTACAAACTGCAAATTCAATCTCACCTCTGCCAGGTGCTCACAAGGTAACCTTCAGTCAGCCACTCTTTTTCAAGCTCAGCTTCCCAACTGTCACTTGGGGGTAATAAAAGTGGCCTAGATTACAGGATTGTTGCAATCCAATGTGAGATGTTTGGGATAAGCCAAAGCACCATACACATATGCTGCTGCTGTAACTTGGAAAATGAAAAGCTGAAAAAAAAAAAACACCTGTTCTTTTCCCCATTGCCAGTTCACACATTACAGGCAACAAGCACATTTTTTAACCAGTTGTTCCTTATGTTAGGTAGCTACCTTTACATTGTGGCAGAGGATGTGTGGCCCTCCTGATAATGTTAGACCAAAACTTCAGGCATCTCTGATCATAGTCCACACTGGCAAAAGCTGACAGGAGCCAAAGTCCAGTTACACCTGGAGGACCCTACCCAAGCTTGCCCACCCAAGCTTTGAGTCAACGTACATCTTCCAGCACAAATGCTTGTCTTCCTCGTATGTTCCTATTTAGCAAGTGTACTTCATAAGCACACACACACACACACACGGCTCATCCACACACAAAATAACAATCCTGAAATTTTTTTACATGAAGATGCTTCTTCTAAATAAAATATTGTGCAATCCAAGTTCTTTTCACAATATTACACTTTCTACAACACTACCTTTTAGATAAACATCTACACCATGAAGTACAAGTTTGCTTACTCATTTACCCACAGCATAGTTACTGATTAATAGATCCGTCCACTTGACATTTTAAAGGAAAATTTAGGATCAGTCAATTCCTCAAGAAAGAGGTTGGGTAGGAGATTTGAAATTTATATTTTTTTCAAGATTAAACTCTCTCTTTTTGATAGTTTTCATTGTAGATCCTCACAGCTCTAAAGTACGAAGGGGTATAAAATACAGTACTACCTAAGTGTATTCAAACTCTTTTCATCAGGTGGAAAGGCAGGCACCTACATAGCAATTGCTTACATCACAGAGTTCTTATTAGCACTTATTTGAGATGACTTGTGCTGTAAAGGTTCCAACATGTTAGCATAACCACACCTTAGATTCAAAAGCCCC